CTGAGGCAGCGGCCACCTTGCTGGGGGGGGGGGGGGGGGTAGGCGGAAGGGAGCAACACCCTTTCCCCCCTGGGGAGGCATGGCGCCGTAGTTTAATGCATGGTCCATTCACTTTTCTTCTGCAAGCTGCTGGGCTCTGGACTAAGTTGTTTTGCCTCTGGAGCCATGGTCGTGCCAGAGAGCCGCTTGTGGGGGGCAACTCATGACCTCGGTAGGGCGTGAAGGACAAGCTGGTACCGTCCCCCTTCCCATGAGACTGCAGTTGCCCCTTCACTGCCGGCTCATACCTGGCTTTCCAATAAGCTGTGAGGTGGCGGCTACCATGCTGCTAGGGGGGAAAAAGGCAGAAGGGAGCAACACCCTTTCTCTCCCGGGGAGGCATGGCGCCATAGTTTAACGCATGGTCCATTCACTTTTCTGCCGCAAGCTGCTGGGCTCTGGATTAAGTCCTTTTGCCTCTGGAGCCATGGCCATGCCAGAGAGTCGCTTGTGGGGGGCAACTCGTGACCTAGGTAGGGCATGAAGGACGAGCCGATGCCGCCCTCCTTCCCATGAGACTGCAGTTGCCCCATCACTGCTGGCTCATACCTGGCTTTCCAATAAGCTCTGAGCCGGCGGCCACCTTGTATGCAGTCCAGATGCATTTCTGCCAAAAGCCGCTGGGTTTCAATATTTGTTTCTGAGTCTCCAGTATCATGGCTATTAATCAGTTTGATCAGGAGCCAGAGAGGCCGTTTGTAGGCGGCGACTCGGGGTCTCGTTGGGATCAGGAGAAAGAGTCGGCTCTACCTCTATGTGGTGAGACCCTGTGTGTCTCATCACTGCAGGCCCAAATCTGACTGTCCGGTGGCCTCTGGAGGATGGTGGTCACCAGGCCGCCAGGGGGAACAGGCCAACAGCCTTCTCTTAAATGTGGAAGTCAGAGCGTTAGGAAGCAGAAGTGACCATTTATCAAAGATAAATGTTTTGGGGACCACCACATTGCCTGCTCTAGCTGCAGTCCTCTCTCTCTCTCCTGTCCCCTTCAGTTAATCAAATAGCTCTCTGGTTGAGTAAAGAACAGCATCCATGATGATGCAAAGCCATAAGTTGTCATGCCACCACTGCTGGTCCACACCAGGTTAACAGCAGTATATGGGGCCAGAAGATTCTGTTCTTAGAAATTCTGGTAACACTATTTCTGACAAGTTATTAGAAGCTCTGCATGAACAAATTAAAAATTTTATGTGCTTTAAAAATAAAACAAAAACAGAAATATTTTTATGTTCCTGGAGCAATAGCACAGCAGGTAGGGCGTTTGCCTTGCACGCAGCCAACCTGGGTTTGATTCCTCCGTCCCTCTTGGAGAGCCCGGCAAGCTACCAAGAGTATTCCGCCTGCACAGCAGAGCCTGGCAAGCTCCCTGTGGCATATTCAATATGCCAAAAACAGCAACAACAAGTCTCACAATGGAGACATTACTAGTGCCAGCTCGAGCCAATCCATGAACAATGGGAAAGCAGTGCTACGGCATTGCAACAGGGCTTACAAAGTTCAATACCAAAGTCAAGAGAATTTGTAAAGTTTCTTTCAGAGGGGTACTGCATCAGTATTGTTGGTCTCCCAGTGTCTTAACAATACTTAATGAGAAGAGACACTCCTCTCTCACTGCTGAGATGTTCAAATAAATGAAACATTGCATTGCTTGTATTTTTAAAATTTTTACCAGTATGGTATATTTTTAAAAACCAGTATTTCATAGAAAACCCTGTTCCAGTACTATTCTCCCCCCCGCCCTTTTTTTTTTTTTTATCCATCTCTTCTGGGCTGGACTTTACATTTACAGCGGGTAGGGTGTTTGCCTTGCACTCGACCAACCCAAGTTTGATTCCTCCGTCCCTCTTGGAGAGTCCAGGAAGCTACCGAGAGTATCCTGCTTGCATGGCAAAGCCTGGTAAGCTCCCTGTGGCATATTCAATATACCAAAAACAGTAACAACCAGTCTCATAATGGGGACATTACTGGTGCCCAGTTGAGCAAATTGATGACAATAGGAGGACAGTGCTACAGTGCAGTGCTCTTCTGGTGTGTGTGTGTGTGTGTGTGTGTGTGTGTGTGTGTGTGTGTGTGTGTGTGTTGGGGCCATACCCAGAAGTGCTCAGGGTTTACTCCTGCCTCTACACTCAGGGATCATTTCTAGCAGGGCTCAGGGGACCATATGGGATGCTATATAATCATAGTGTTTCACAGTCAAGGTCCTCCCGTTGTTCATCGATTTGCTTGAGCGGGCCCAGTAACGCCTCCATCATGAGACTTGTTGTTACTGTGTTTGGCATATCGAATACGTCAAGGGGAGCTTGCCAGGCTCTGCCATGTGGGCGAGATACTCTCAGTAGCTTGCCGGGCTCTCCAAGAGGGGCGGAGGAATTGAACTCGAGTCGGCCATGTTGGCTGCGTGCAAGGCAAACGCCCTACCACTGTGCTATCGCTCCAGCCCAGTCATTTCAATTTTTCATTTCATCATCCTGTTATTCGTCGATTGCCTCGAGCAGGCCCCAGTAACATCTCTTTCATCCTAACCCTGAGATTATATTCAAGGCTCTTTAGGAGAATGAGACCCATCATTGTTACTGGTATTTGGCATATTTGGTACGCCACGGGGAGTTTGCCAGACTCTGCCCTGTGGGCAGGCTACATTCGATAGCCTGCAACTTTGTCCAAAGTAGGAATGAGATAATAAGATGTCATAAAAAGATGTCCTGATAAGATGTCGCGCGGCCACGAATGCGGCTGTGAGGTTCCGGGAGCTGGATTTTATAGTCTCTGAGTCTTGGCCGTTGATGGGATTACACGGCGCCAGGGGGCCAGGTGGTGGGTGTGACCCCCGCCTACTGGAATTTGGAGGATCTGGGTGGAGGATGCTCGACTCCAATCCGAGTAGGCTGGGAGATCTCGGCCCCGAGATCTCCAGCCCAATCAGTGTTTAAATATTTAAAATATTAACACTTAAAAGATAAGTTTTCACCATCTGTAAAATACATTTGGAATGTTAAACAAAGGTTTTATTTTACTACATATTAAGATTCAACCCTCTAAACCGCCAGTTACAATCACACTTATTTTCTTTTGTGGTGGGTATGTATGTTTCCCCAACCGTTGTCTCAGCTATGCCATTTCTCCCTGGCACCCCTCTCCTTAACCAGGCCTATGTCACATTCAGTCTCAAGCCAGACAGCCATCTAACTGTCACATCTGTCATATTTCACTATGGCAACCACAACCTGTATTTCACAACCTATAGGAGTGGAGACTACCTATTTAACATAAACTGTGGCCAGATTTATGTTCTTCTTATTTTGTCAGGGTATTAAATGCAGGTTTCACTTACAAAAAAAGTAAATACTCTACTCTGGGCTACATTCCCGGTCCTCTAGTAACCACAGTAAAGTAGTAGAAAGGAACAGGTGAAATTATTTTAATAATGTACTTTGACACAATGCATCCAAAAGATTTCAACCTAAAATTTTAAAAATTTCTTTTGGGTATTCTTTGTAATCCAGAGTACATTTTACATTTATAGCACATAGCGGGTTCAGAAATAGCTACATTTCAAGTTCTTAATTGCTATATGTGGATAGAAACTGGACAGTGTAATTCTAATGACCCAACTGGGTGTTGTTGGTATTTCTGTTAAACAAATGAAACCCAACACATCAGTGTATTACTGTGTATTTCCTGTAAGTCTTGTGTGCCTCCCAAACAAGGCCTGAAAATAATTTTGAGGAAGGAAAAGATGGCCCCTGAAGATTCAGCTAAAGAGGAGCACTCCCTGTATTTGAGACCTAGACAGCCCTAAATTAATTCAGACTTGCTACGGAATCAGCTTTTACCTTTAAAAACAGATCCAGAGCTTCATAGCCCGAAATAATCCACATTCTGCTGCTCTCCTCTTTCCTCCATACTGTCCTCTGGTCAGCAGAACACCTTCTACAAAGATTTGATAATGCCACCCTATCTTCTTCACAGGGCAGCAGAGGAGGCCTTAGCCAAAGGTGCATCCTCCTCCTCTGGTTGAAACTGGGCATAACTTGCCAGCTGGAACTTAAAAGGGATATATATTTGGGGTAAGGGGATGAAGGAGAGTATTTGGGGGGTTGGGGACTACATGTTGCAGTGCTAGGGGACCAGGTGAGTGAACCTTCGTAGACACATGCAAGGCAACATGCCTTAACCCCTGTACTGCCTGTCTGGCCCCAGTGTCTAAATATATTTAATGGAATTATCAGACATATTGGTAGGGAGCTTGCTTTGCACTCAGCTGACCCAGGTTCAATCCTGGTACCCCATATGGTCTGTAAGTGCCATCCGGAGTGATTCCTGAACGCAGAGCCAGGAGTAAGCCCTGAGCACAGCCAGGTGTGGCCCAAATCCAAAATAAAATGTGTTTAAAGAAACGTGGTTATTCCAAGAGCAGAATCCGAAGCCCAGAGCGAAGCGTTCAATCCCCTGATACTGAGCTAAGCCCGGAAAAGAAAGGCGGAGTTTTGCCCAAAGCCATTCCACAAATCCACCTCGGCTGGGTCGAGCTCCACTACCAGGCAACTCCCGAGCCGTCCCCCACCCCCAAATAGAAGAAAAAGGTTTTCACTGGAGACAAGGTGCGTGTCCAAAAGGGTCTGTTAAAGTGTCGGCGGAGGTTGACATGCACGGGTCGGTTCCCCAAACAACGGGGGCCGCCTCCCTCCGGGGGGTCCTGAGAAACCCCGGGCCCTGCGGGAGGGGCGCGGGAAGGCCGACACGAGGTCAGAACACACCGCGGGCGGCTGGCTGGTTTCCCCCCACAGCCGGAGAAACCGGCCCCATCAGGTGCCGGGTGTCCCGCCTCCGCACCGGCCGCCCCCCGCCCTCCCCCACGGCCCGGCCACCCGCACACCGCCCGGCCGCCAGCCCGCCCCGCGCAGCCTGGAACCGTTTCCGGGGCGGGCGCGCCTGGTGGCTGACCCGGCGCGGATCGTGACGCGGGGCCCGGGCGGAAGTGCGGCCGGAGGAGCCCGAGCCCCAGCCAGGAGCAGGTCTCCGGGGCCCGGGGCGCGGGGCACGGCGCGGCTTTGCAGCCATGGCGAGCGTGGCCGCGGGCCTGGCGCTGGCCGTGCTGCTGCTGGCGCAGCTGGCAGAGGCCGCCAAGGTGAGTCCCGCCGCGAGCGCCGCCCCTCGCTGCCCCCGGCCCCCCTCAGAGCCGGGCGCAAGGGCTCCAGCGCTCTGACAGCCCCGGCTCCGCGCGGGGCTTGCCCGCCAGCCTTCCCGCACCCTTCCGCTCCCCTCCGCCGGGACAGCGACTCCTCCACCTCCTGGCCACTTCCCGGCCCCGACTTCCACCTCTGGCAGGCTCACTGTCTCCCCCTTTCCCCTCAAGCCTCCGCTCGCGGAAGACCTGCTGCTCCGGAACCCTCCACCCCCTTGGATGGACCCCCTGGCCCCTCTTCTCTCCTCTCCTCTCCCTCCTTCTGCAGGGACCCCCGCCGCCCCAGCCCTCCCGTCCTGCCCACCGCACCCCTCACCTGCCCAGGAGCCGCACCTCCCTCGCCTCTTCTCCTGATGCTTTTAGTGGGAGAGCAGCGAGGTTTCGTCCATCTCCCCCAAAAGTACGGCCCCAGCTGTATTTCTTGTTTGCTCCGAGTCTCCCCCCACAAGTGATGGGTAAACATCGGAGTTGAAAGCTGGAATGTCTCTGAGTATAGGTTAGGGCAGACAGGTCACAGGCTGCTCTGTTGATGTTTCCCCTGTCGCCCCCCCCCCCCCCCCCGTCCCCCAGAAACGGGGGCAACTACAGGTTTCTCAGCTGTGTGGTAATGGGGATGTTTGTTTTGATGTTTGGACCACACCCAGTGGTGCTCAAGGGCTACTCCCTGCTTTGTGCCCTGAGATCAGTCGCCTCCATCTGGTGCTGGGAACCCTTGCCGGTGGGTGGGTGGCGTGCATAGTCTGCGCTTAGCCCCCACTGAACTCTTTTCAGCCCCAGCCTCCCTACTTTTAAGCGATTGCTGGCACCCTCTGCATCTGTTCTTTTACCACCCTATGTTCTGTATTGTAACTATGCATGTATTTATTTGTCTTCTTGACTAGGATGCGTTCTAATTACAGGCAGGACAGGTGTTTTAGGCTTAATCAGAATCCATCTCCTTTAGCACAATGTCTGACACCAAGAGGATGCTCAAATGGTTGCCGAATGAATGAGTAGTCAGCAGTTGCAGTGGGCCAGTGCTCTGAGAAGGGATCAGCCCCTGCCTTCTCTGGTCCCCCTTTGCTAAGGAGGCATCTGCTATTCTTTCTGTTCATATATTTAGTCACTTCTTCCTCTGGCCCCAGAAACTGACTTTGTTGTTCGTTATTCTATCTGTCTTCAGAGATTAGAAGCAAAGTTTCCTGGGAAAGAGTAGACCAAAATGATGTCAGCTGGACAAACACTTCCCTTCTAATTGTAGCTAAATGCTTCTAAAATTTCATCCCTTCTATAGCACTCTGGCCTAACTCCTTTGATCTCTGTCAATGCCTTTATACCAAAGGGTGGAAGGGTACTGGGTAGAATTGTGACTTGTGTTATGATTAATTTTTAGTTTGATGCTTTTCTTTCCTTTTGTACTGAACAGAACATTCTTATTTGTCGGCTGAATAATCGGTCTTCTGTGTGTCTTTCTGCTGTCAGGTAGATGGTGATGACTTTAGCACACAGTGACAGTCATGTGGCCCAGGAAAGTCACAAATTATGTGTTAGCTATTATTTCAAAATAATGTTATATAATGTTTCATTAATATTACCAAAAAAACTGACTTAAAAAATGATTTCTCTCGAGCTTTAAGCTTGAAAAGAAAGCCTTGAAAGGCTAGAATATTTGGCAGGGGATGCTTAGCAAAATGGATCTGTTGCTGGTTTTTAAAATATTGATGTTAAACTGTCAATAAGCTATACTAAGTTTCCATTTTGGTTGCAGAATTTCGAAGATGTCCGATGTAAGTGTATCTGTCCACCCTATAAAGAAAATTCTGGGCATATTTATAATAAGAACATATCTCAAAAAGATTGGTAAGTATTCTGGATTATTGAAAAGCCTGTTGACTTTCTTTCTGTGATTGTCATTGTTATCCCAGAATGTTCCTCCAGGCCAGGGAGGTGGCTCAGCTGTAGAGAGTTCATGTGCATATGTGAGTCCCCTGGTTTGATCCCCAGCACTAAAAGAACAAAAAGCAAGACTAGAATATGTGTTCTTTTCAAGTATTCCTTCTTAAGTAAAAATACATAATTCTATTTTTCATTTTTAAAAAGTGAAACTAAAGCCCAGGATGCATGATATGACTACTATATTTTGGTTATATATAATTTTTCCAATTTGTAGTTTTGATGCCATATTGTTAAATACCGGCGATTCTTTGAAATCATAGGGTCCCAAATTTATTTGACCTATTACCCCCTTTTCAGAGGAAAAAACTTGCTTGGTGTCTCTCAGGAAATCTACTTTGTTTAAACTAACAGAAAGTACCCCTCACCCCCACTCCTAATACCTGAATCTGTCCAGTGCTCCCGTGGGGCAGTATCACCCACTTTCAGAAAACACTTTCAGAGTGTCAGAAGGTTCAGATGGAACCAAATGAGTCCAGTATATGAGTTTCCCAATGGTGAGGCTTGAATAGATTTTCAGTGTACCATATATTGATCTTTTCAGTCCCTGGAGTAATCAGGCATACCAGGAATGACTGAGATCCTGACTGGCTCAGCCTCAGCAAGTGTCTTTGTTTATCCCAGTGGACCTTACAAATGATAGCTTCTTCTGCCTGTGCCAAGAAATGGTTGGAAAGCAGTTGTCGTACAGCAGAGGATTGGCTCCTTCTGTCGGAACTAATGTTTAATGACTTGTAACCACAGTGAAAGATTACCAGGATAAGCCTATAAGGAAATAGCTCCAAGTGCTATGTACTTCAGTGCATATATGGTTTCATAGCTAAATAACCAGCAAAGGTTTGAAGGCAAAATTAAATTCACACAGTTACATTATTCCAAGCTGACTTTGAAAAAAAAAAGGAAATGTTTAATTTCACTAATGTCATTGTCTCTTCTTCCTATTATGCACATCAGTTCAATCTGATATTTGATAAGTACATTCTTTTTTTAAAAATTTTTATTAGTGAAACACCGTGAAGTACAGTTGTAGACCTACAAATTTTGTGCTTGGGTTTCAATTATACAATGATCAAATACCCATCCCTCCACCAGTGCCCATTTCCCACCACCACGGATCCCAGTATCCCTCCCACCCCCCATATCCCCCATCCCACCCTGCCTCTGTGGCAGGGCATTCCCTTTTGTTCTCTCTCTCCTTTTGGGTGCTGTGGTTTGAAAAAGAGGCATTGAGTGGCAATCATGTTTGGTCTATAGTCTACTTTCAGCATGCTTCTCCCATTCTGGGAGGATCCTCCCAACACTCTTTATTTGGTGCTCCCTTCTCTATCTGAGCTCCCTTTTCCCCTAGCATATGTGGCTGGCCTCCAAGCCATGGAGCAAAATTCCTGGTACTAATCTCGGCCACTCTTGGGTGTTAGTCTCCTATTTTGTTACTTTATGTTCCCCAGATGAATGCACTCTTTCTATGTCTATCCCTCTCTTTCGGACTCATTTCGCTTAACATGATACTTTCCATGTAGTTCCACTTGTATGTAAATTTCATGAGATAAGTACATTCTTGAGAAGTTCTTGTGAACTTCATATTCCAGTTTAAGTTGACATGCAATATAAACTGTTAAAACTGTGTTCTTAGAAGTTTTTCCCCAGGCTGGGAGTTCTAAAGAGAAACTCAGGAAGTCTGGGTTCTAAAGAGATTCTCAGTCAACCAGCTATCAGGTCAGGGCCCAAGGATATGATGCTCTCAGGCCCTGCAATGCCAGGGATACCCAGGCTACTAGTGGTGCTGGGGACCTCCAGAGCCATGCCTAGAGGTGCTCTGGTACCTCCAGGGCTGCACCCAGAGATGCTTGAGGGCCAGGCAGGGCCAGGAGTCAAACCCAGCTAGGTGCATGCCAGGCATGGTTCCGAACCATTGTGCTGTCTCCCAGCCTCTACATTCTTACAGGTTTCATATCAACAGGTTGCTTCACATAGTAGAAGACAGCTTGAGGTGGGGGGATAGAACATGGCTCAGTGGAAAAGGTACCTGCTTTGCAAGTGTTAGACTATGAGTTCGAAATCCAGTGTGGCTCCATGCACTGAGTGCAGTCTTGACAATTCAGCTGTACCTGGCAACTCTGCTGATGGACCTCTGGTACGGTAAAGTCATTTCCAGCCACACTGCTGCCAAGTGTATGCAAGCATAAAGGTATGACCCGGTGTGAGCACCACAGCTAAATGCATAAGGACTAAGTCGGGTGTGTGTGACCTCCCATCATGCAGCAACAATTGTCATCAATGGGAAGGGAAGGGAGTGAAGAAAGCATAAATCATTTTTTAATTACTCCTAGATATTTTTCATCTACGCCCTGGGTCCTGCACACCTGGGTTCCTCTGCCAGTTCCTTCATGCATGAGGTTCATCCAAACGTGTGGAGAGTGGTCTTAAGCATGGCTGTGGCTGGAACCAGAGGTCTTCAGCTGCCGGGGCTCTGCTCGGGGTGAGGAGGGAAACTCAACCCACCCTCCTCCAAGGGACCCCGGTGAGGACAGTCAGGCGCGGAGGTAGGAGACTCTGCGCTGTTCTCTTCCGGGAGCAGGGTTTTATAGTCTCTGGGTCTTGACCGTTGATGGGACCTCCGGTTCCAGCCACAGCCATGCTTAAGGCCACTCTCCACACGTTCGGACGAGCCTCACGTATGAAGGAAGCGGCAGAGGAACCCCGGTGTGCAGGACCCAGGGCATAGATCTCCAAGCCTGCTCGGATCGGGGCTGAGCATCCTCCACCCATATCCCCCATCTTCCAGTATGTAGGCGTTACACCCACCAACTGCCCCCAGAGCTGTGTAATCCCATCAACGGCCAAGACCCAGAGACTATAAAACCCTGCTCCTGGAAGCGCGCGGCCATAAATCTAGTTCTTACTCTGGAGAACCTGGCAGGCTACCAAAAGTATCCTGCCCACAGGGCAGAGTCTAGCAAACTCCCCGTGGCGTATTCAATATGCCAAAAACCAGTAACAATGATGGGTCTCATTCTCCTGACCCTGAAAGAGCCTCGAATGTGGCACTTTTTTAAATCTCAGGGCTAGGACGAAGGAGACGTTACTGGGGCTTGCTCAAGGCAATCGATGAACAACAGGATGAGAGTGATACAGTGATACATATTTTTCATATTGAATACTTATAATCAGTTTACTCTGCTGTTATATGTCAGTAATAAAATTTGATGTCTATTATTTGAGTAGCAGATGAATTCACTATTCATTTGATTAGCGCCAATCTTTTCTCTGACTTTTTTATTTTTTGGTTTTGGGGATACACACTATGATGCAGGGTGCCAAGGCTTTCTGCTTGTAAAACATACTCACTCTTCAGCCTGTGACATTTTCTCTCAGGCTCCTCTGACTTCTTATTTCAGCTTTATACAGAACCATGTTTTCATTCATCATTGGTTATTATCAAAACAAGGACCTTCAAAAATAAACAAGTCTTGTTTTTGGATCTTCCTTCCCTTCTTATTTTCTTTCCTTCCTTTTACTGGGGTAGCTTTCTCCCAGTTGTCACTGAAAAGTTTTAAATTGCTATTAGAAAGATACACACTGTATAATTAAACAGAAAGTTGTGGCTTTACAAGACCTCCATTATCTGTGTTGCATTAGATAGATTTTTACCTTCCCGTCTAAAACTACTTCTTCCTTGATTTATGCTGGTTGACCCAAGAAATGTAGTTCTATAGTTTGTGTTAGGGTGTGCTTTAAAACTGATGATGTTGGAGCTAGAGCAGTAGTACAGTGGGTAGGGCACTTGTTTTGCCAAACCCACATTTGATCCCAGGTCCGTCCTGGGCAGAGCCAGGCATAAACCCTGGCCCCCAAACAAAAATGATGATGTCCTTCTTTGGACACTAGGGAGCGATGTTGTCTAGCTTCTGAGGTGGTTGGCTTCTGTATCCGGGTTCTGTTGACCTACTGGAACCAACGTTTTCTTCCTCTCCTTATTGGCCGGCTCTTATTGATCAAAATAAGGATATTCACTAGGTCTTTGTTATTAAACAGTATTTGTAGTTCTGGAGAAACACCCAGTACCTAGCACTTAGTGTCCCAAGTGATTCTTAGGTACTGTGGCTGGGGCTTCTGAAAGTGAACTAGGAAGCTAAATGGGAGACAGCTTTGTTCATTTTCCTGAGGCTCAGAGGGATACCAGAACCAAAGCGGAGAACTGGCTGCTAGTTCTTTGTAGCTACTGATTGACAAGGACCTGTGCGAGTCGCCTCTGAGAATTTTGGGCTGGGGAACCCCTGTGACAAGGAGATAAAAGCCCCTGTGTTGGGACTTAGCTTTCTTTGTCCATTTAATGCCTGTTCTAGGCTAGATAACTTGCCCAGTCTTATGCCTGGAGCGGATATCACACCCTGGCATGTGTGAGACATGGAAACTTGCCCTTATTTGAAATTCTGCAAGTGGAGTTTTATTTTCATTATTTTGTTAAATTACTTGTTAAGGATAAATGATTGAACATTTTTACCATTTTTACAGTTTGAATTTTATTTCCAATGCCACGATTAAAAAGGAATGGAACACTGAAATGTCATTTTGCTAGGGCAAAGTGAAAGAATAAGCGTAGAGCACTATGTGCCCTCAGGAGGGCTGGTGGAGTGAAATTCAGTATTGCAGAGGAGCTATTGAGGCAGCCAGAAATGCTGAAGGAGGGACAAAAGGCAGAGAATTGTCTGGCTGCTGGCAGGGTAGGAAAGCTTTGCTGGTTTCTACTGAAGGTGATCAGAATAGTAGACTCTTACTAGCTGGGAAGACTACTATTTTTTTTTTCTAGAATTGATAGATTTTTTTAGGAAGAATATTTTTTGTTGAGTTTGGTTTAAAATTTTTTTTTGTAAGCCATAATAAGTAGCTTAGGGGCCGGAGCAATAGTACAGCGGGTAGGGCGTTTGCCTTACACGCGGCTGACCCGGGTTTGATTCCCATATGGTCCCCTGAGCACCACCAGGAGTAATTCCTGAGTGCAGAGCCAGGAGAAACCCTTGAGCATTGCCGGGTGTGACCCAAAAAGCGAAAAAAAAAAAAAAAGTAGCTTAGAAATTGGTGGAGTAGCATGGATTCAGAACTTCCAACAATTAAAACATTCAGCCTTTCATTCTTTAAGGTAAAGGTAAAGGCCCTCCCGTTGATCGTCGATTTGCTCGAGCGGGCCCAGTAACGTCTCCATTGGAGACTTTGTTGTTACTGTGTCTGGCATATCGAATACTCTCGGTAGCTTGCCGGGCTCTCTGAGAGGGGCGGAGGAATCGAACTCGGGTCGGCCATGTTGGCCGCTTGTAAGGCGAACGCCCTACCTGCTGTGCTATCGCTCCAGCCTTTATAAATATATATATATTTACATATGGGCTGGAGCGATAGCACAGTGGGTAGGTTTCTTGCCTTTCACACAGCCGGCCCTGGCCGACCCAGGTTCGATTCCTCCGCCCCTCTCGGAGAGCCCAGCAAGCTACCAAGAGTATCGCACCTGCACAGCAAAGCTTGGCAAGCTACCTGTGACGTATTTGATATGCCAAACACAGTAACAAGTCTCACAATGAAGACGTTACTGGTGCCCACTCGAGCAAATCGATGAACAACGGGAGGACAGTGCTGCAGTGCTACATATAAATATAAAGAATGAAAGGCTGAATGTGTGTGTATGTGTGTGTGTATCTTCAAGGTAATCAATTTTTAAATTTGTCACTGCCCTCCCGTTGTTCATCGATTTTCTCGAGCAGGCCCAGTAACGTCTCCATTGGAGACTTTGTTGTTACTGTGTCTGGCATATCGAATACGTCACGTGGAGCTTGCCAGGCTCTGCCGTGCGGGCAAGATACTCTCGGTAGCTTGCCGGGCTCTCCGAGAGGGGCGGAGGAACCAAACTTGGGTCGGCCATGTTGGCTGCGTGCAAGGCAAATGTCCGACCGCTGTGCTATATTTTTGTTGGGGCCAGAGCAGTCATAAAGCTGGTAAGGCAAGCCTTGTAAGCAACCTCTCTGGGTTTAATCCCCGGCACCCCAAGTTCTCCCCTGAGCATTGCCAGGAGTGATTCCTGAACACAGAGCCAGGAGAAACCCTGAGTTCTGCTGGATGTGCCCTTTCTGCCCCCCTCCCACAAAAAAAAGGAAAAAAAAAAGAAAAAAATTTTACTTGTCATTTTAACCCTACTTCATCTTTTTTTTTCTTTGGGGGAAAGTGGGGGTTACTGGGGACCATACCCAGCAGTGCTCAGGGACTATTCCTGACTGTTCCAGAGTGCCCCCTGCCAGTTCTCAGGAAACTATACAGGAACACTGCAAGGCAAGTACCTCATCCCCAGTATTAGCCCTCTGGCCCCTTGGCGCTTTTACAGAAGACTGTTTCTCGTTAGAAAAATAATAGTTTCTACTATAGCAATGCATATTTAGTGTTTAGTTTAGTTTCAGAATTTACAACGATTGTCATATACCATACTGTACCAGTTTTAAAAAGTGTTAATGTTTATTTAAATAAAGTCCCAGACCACTTTAAGTCACTTAAAGCAGTTTTACTTAGGAACTGATCAAATGCAAGTATTACTTGAGTCTCTTAAGTAGTTTTCTATCCCTTTGAAAATGTTCAGGTACATTTCAGCTTTACAGTAGCAACTTTGAAAGTGGACAGTAATTCTATGTGCATCTTTATGGGGTTTCTTAGATTGCTATACCTTATCAAAGGCCTGATACTGCAATAGTATATTGGCTCCTTATATGATTTGACTGTTTAATAATTCAGGAGACTGTATTAGCGTGCATTGGAAGCCTAGCCAGGCTGAAGGAAATATTTCATCTCTGTTCTTTCCAGCGACTGCCTTCATGTTGTAGAGCCGATGCCCGTGCGGGGGCCTGATGTCGAAGCATACTGTTTGCGTTGTGAATGTAAATATGAGGAGAGGAGCTCTGTGACCATCAAGGTGAGGCAGAAAAATCTTTCTACCTTCTGGAATATTTTTGGTGGTATCTAAAGAGAGAGAAAGTTTTGACATCTAAATTCTGTTTTCGTTACCTGAACTGCTGTTCTTCCCTCCTCTTCCCTCCCCCTAACCTCCCTTCATATCTCAAAGCAGTGGGTCTGCTCGCTCTCTGCCCCATGGAGAGGCCTGGTGGGTTAATTCAAATGCATTAGATCGGTGTGATACAGGAAATGCACAGATATGCAACATGTATGTCTGTGCCATCAAATAATACAGTATTTGGTCTTCTATGATTTTTTTCCACTTAGCATACTATTTTTGAGGTTTATCACTGCTGTACTGAATTCCCTTTTATTACAGAATAGTATCCTATCATCTGGATCTACCTTCTTTTGATGATCTGTTCATCAGTTGATGGGCATTTAGATAATCAAAATTTTTTGCTATTTGGATGTTGCTAAAAGTTCCAGATTTTTGCTATTATAAATAATAATATCCCAAATATCTGCACATACATCTTTGTGTGTGCATATGTTTTCCTTTCATTTGGGTCGATCTACTAGGTAACTTTATGTATAACTTTTTTAAGAGACTGCCACATTGTTTTTCCAGTGGCTATACTCCTTTATAGTCAACACGAACTTGGCCATGAGTGTTGATTCATTTGTGGCATGCTACTGAGAGTATCCCGCCCACACGGCAGAGCCTGGCAAGCTATCCGTGGCATATTCGATTTGCCAAAACCAATAAATACAATGGGTCTCATTTCCCTGACCTTGAAAGAGCCACCAATATGGCAGTGTTAAGAAGGATGAGGAAGGAGAGGAGAAGAGGCTGATAAAATCTCAAGGCCTAACTAGGCTGCCAAAATGAAGAAGGGCAAAATGACTGTACTTTCAATGCATGTACACTGGCATCGGATGCATCCATCGAGGACCTGATGGTGCAAGCGCAAAAGATCAAGAATGACATCACTGGTTTGACTGAGACGAGAAGGCATGAACCACGTCACACCATTTTCGACACTGGAGAAGAACTTTTCCTCGGAACATGGGACAAAAGAGGCATCGGTGGTGTCAGTGTCCTTGTCAACATGAACTTGGCCATGAGCATTGATTCATTTGAATGCCTAATAACCTGAATCGGACTATTACACTTGAATAGATGTGGCTCACTGCCACCAGTTTCTATCTTCGTTGTCTACGCACCAACATCCAATTGTGATGAAGGAGAAATTGAGAAGTTCTACATGGAGCTAGAGAAGTTCTATAAAGAAGACCACACCTTCTACAAGATCATTGTCAGTGATTTTAATGCCAAGATAGGACCGAGAAGATCAGCTGAAGAACTCCACATTGGGACCCATGGCCTAGAATGGAACAGACTGTCTGAGTTCATCATGTCGACCAAGACCATCCATGGTAACTCACAGTTCCAGAAGGCCGAATCTAAACATAGGACATGGGAGTCTCATGGCAGATGGTTCCACAATAAAATTGACCACGTCATATTCAATTGACGATTTTTGCCTGACCTATGTCGCTATTGTCCCAAAATTCCAAATGAGATCGGACCACCTTCTCCTTCGTGAAGAATTCTACTTCACAGAGCAGGGAGAAATGGCTGCAAAGTTTAAGAAGAGAACCCCCAGAATGACCACCAACTGGGAGCTCTTTGGCACTATTGTGGCAACATAGGAAGATGCTGTCGTTGACAACATTGACAAAGAATACGATCGACTGGTTCAGCATCTCCAGGATTGTGCGAGGAACGCTGAGAGAGAGATAGCCACAAAAAGACACCTGTCTTCAAAAACTCTTGAGCTTATTCACCAATGTGGCTTGGGGCATGCTTCAGGCAACTGCAAACGAATGTCCAAGCTTGGAAAGCAGTGCAGAGAAGTGATAAAGGAAGACCTCAAAGAGAGAAGAGCAGCAGTGCTGGCAGATACAGCAGAAGCCGTGAAAAGCATTCGCAATGCCCACCTGTCCTTCGCCAACTACAAGACCAAGGTGACTGCCCTCCAACGTCCTGATGGATCTATCACATCTTCCAGAAGGGCAGTGGAGAAGATTATCCATGACTTCTACTCAGATCTCTTTGATAGCCACATCCACCTGCCCACATACCAAATTCTGCAGGATGGATATGTTGTTCCCAACATTCTCCCTTCCAAAATCCCACATGCCATTTCATCAGTAAAGAAGTGAACAGCACCCAGCCCAGACAAGGTCAGACCCGAACATCTGAAGAACCTGCCTTTAGTACTCATCAATACACTGGCTCGGCTCTTCACATGCTACCTGTCTGAATGCAAGGTTCCGTCCCAATGGAAAACCAGCAGGACTATACTACTGTACAAGAAGGGAGACATCCACGACATTGGCAACTATCACCTGATCTGCCTGTTGTCTGTTGTCTACAAGCTGTTCACTCAAGTCATCCTGAATAGGATTGGCAGAACACTAGGTGAAGGACAACCATGTGAACAAGCCAGGTTCCGAAAAGGATTCAACACAATCGACCATATCCACACGGTAACCAAGCTCATTAAGGTTTCTCAGGAGTTCAAGATGCTGCTCAGTCTAACGTTCATTGATTTAAAGAAGGCCTTTGATTCTGTTGAGACTGAAGTGGTCATTGAAGCCCTAGCCAACAGGGCGTTCAAACTCAATACATCAGGATCCTCTGTGAGCTGTGTTATGGATTCACTACCAGAATCTCACCATTCTACAAGGAAGTGATCATCCATGTCAACAGAAGGGTTCAGCAGGGTGGTACCATTTCACCGAAACTCTTCAGTGCCATCCTCAAGAACGTCATACAATGACTGGAATGGGAAGGAATGGGAGTGAAGATAGGCGGTCGGCAACTGTACCACCTCCGTTTCACTGATGATATCGTTTTAATAACACCAAACATTAGCCAAGTGGCACAAATGCTGGTTGACTTTGACTGTGAGTGTGGAAAGGTCAGACTACAGCTGAATCTCATGAAGACAACGTTTATGAGAAACGGTCTTGGTCCTGATGCTCCATTCGCTCTCAATGGAACGAACATCTCCGAATGCAACAGTTATGTGTACCAAGGTCGAGAAGTCAACATGACGAATGACCTGGCACCTGAATTGCACAGGAGGAAGAGAGTGGCTTGGAATGCCTTCAAGAGTATCGAAGAAATAGCTAAGAGGACGAAGAACCTCTGGCTCTGGGCAGATCTCTTCAATTCCACTGTTCTTCCTGCATTAATATACGCCTCAGAGACCTGGGCCTTACAAAAACAGGATGAGACTGCTATTCAGGTTTCCCAACGAGGAATCGAAAGAGCTGTGCTTGGAGTATCACGCTTCACTCAAGTGAGAGAAAGAATCCGGAGTTCTGACCTCCATCAATGATCAAGAATCAGGAATGCTGTCTCTTTTGCCAAGGTGTCGAAAATCAGATGGGCTGGACACTTAATGCGATTTGGAGACAACTGCTGGACTAGAGCTGTTACCGACTGGATTCCACGGGACGTCAAAAGATCTCATGGCTGCCCACCTACGAGATGGTCAGACTTCTTTGTCAAGACCCTGAATGATTGGTTTGAGGTTCCTTGTTTTCCTGGAGCGAGCAGACACCATTGGACTAGTGTAGCTAGCACGCAACAGGGACGAATGGAGACGTTACTGGCACCCGCTCAAGCAAATCAATGAGTGACGGGATGTCAAGTGATCAAGTGATACTATTTTACATTCCCATCAGCAATGTATAAATTCTCAGTTTTTCCACATTCTTGTTCAACGTGTGATATTGCCGGTCTTTTAATACAGACATTATGGTGGAAGTTGTCACACTTTACTTTTGATGGCACACGACTCAAGTCTCAGAATTGGGCCAGAGGGATAGCTCGGCAGGTTATGTGTATACTTTGCGTGCAGGAGGTCGGGTTCAACCCCTTGCATAGTGAAGTCCCCCAAACACCACGGGAGTTACCCCAACACTGCAGGGTGAGGGCCCAAAGCACATCAGCAAAAAAATCTCAAGATCATGTGTATAAAAGTATTGTATATCACAGTTGATCTAAAGGGATATTTTGTTGAAATTCATCTAAATTACTTTTCTGTTAATGTTCCCTTAAGTTGTTTTGACAGCAGTACTGTGGAATCTAGGGCACTTAAGAGAAGAAAATTGCCAGCAGTGATGACATGTGATTAGCAGTAGGTGAGGATAAGCGACTTTTAAAGACTCATAAAAAAGATCCCAAAGGCAAAATGCTTCTTGTCTCTTTTTCTTTAAATAATAGTCGAATGAATATTGACTTTGTTTCCTATATTAGAATATGGTTTGTATGAGATACCTGTGACTTCACAGGGTTTTACTATTATATAGAACTCTGGTTTCTTAGCTTAAATAGAGATGAAACTTATTTTTAATATCTTTTAGGTTACCATTATAATTTATCTCTCCATTTTGGGCCTTCTGCTTCTGTACATGGTGTATCTTACTCTGGTTGAACCCATTCTGAAGAGACGCCTCTTTGGACACTCACAGTTGATACAGAGTGATGATGATGTTGGGGTAAGTTCTTGGTCTGCACATGCCAGTCTCTGTCAACAGAGGTAAAGTATTGTGCAAAGTAATCATGGACAGAAGTTCATGTGCTGGGGCAGCTCCTCAGCTGGAGAAGCATAAAACAGTCCTAAGCTTAGTATCTATGTCTCTATAAGAACATTGCGCTGTAGTGTCATAAATATGGTGATGATCCTTGCTGAGTGTACTTTACCAGGCCTTCTCAGTACTAAGGGCATACTTTGAATTTCTTTTCCCTCTTTACAGTGAGAAAAGCATCAAGAGATAGTTCCCCCCCCCCCCCCCATGTTCCTGTTGGAATACTTTTCCTGTTAGCATTTTAGAAACCCACCACCTGGCCCCCTGGCGCCGTGTAATCCCATCAGCGGCCAAGACTCAGAGACTATAAAAATCCAGCTCCTGGAACCACACAGCCGCATTTGCGGCTGTGCAACATCTTATCAGGACATCTTTTTATGACATCTTATTATCTCATTCCTACTTTGGACAAACTTGCAGGCTATCGAATGTAGCCTGCCCACAGGGCAGAGTCTGGCAAACTCCCCGTGGCGTACCAGATATGCCAAATACCAGTAACAATGATGGGTCTCATTCTCCTAAATAGCCTTGAATATAATCTCAGGGCTAGGATGAAAGACGTTACTGGGGCCTGCTCGAGGCAATCGACGAATAACAGGATGATGAATGAAAGAATGAAAAATTTTAGAATAAAATGATTTATTTATTTAATACAGTGATTTTCTTTTTGGGTCACACCCAGTGATGCACAGGGGTCATTTCTGGCTCATGCACTCAGGAATTACTCCTGGCGGTGCTCCGGGGACCATATGGGATGCTGGGAATCGAACCCATGTTGGCTGCATGCAAACGCCCTACCCATTGTGCTATTGCTCCAGCCCCAGAAGAAAATATTTTAGAAGCCAAAGGACTTCAGTGAAAGGATGCATAAAGATCACGATGTTCTTTTCTAACTGTCCTATGGGCTGTGGCCGTCCGTGCTCTGCAGGCCATGATGTGCTGGGGATTAAACCTAGAGTGCATGCCTAGTGCTCTACTGTTTGAGATCTTCCCCTGGCCTCCGGGATGCTCTTTTTAAAACCAAGTACAGCTTGATAACCTGATATTATCCTCTATGGTTTTCTTCCTTCTCAAAGACAAAAGAAACCAATTTTTTAATTCTAAGAAAAAGCAGTTCAGAATCTCTCTCTGTCTTCCATATATGTTTTTTACACATAGATTTGTTATAATGAGTGCATAAATAATTTGAGTTTTTTTTTGTTGGGGGGGGATTGTGTTAAAATTCTTCCATTCAGAAATGTTCAGCAGTTGACATAGTCCGCAAATATATTTAGTATTGACTTGTATTGTCTTGTTTTAGGCTTCTTTCTAAATTTTTCATTATTTTATATATAATTTTTCTATTTTTAATTACTTTGTAATTAATGGACTGTGTTCCTTAAAGTGGAAAAATTCAGTAGAGTTCCAAGAACCAGTTTCAAAAGCCAAAGCGAGCCCTTGCTAATCCCAGACAGAAATTCTTTGACCCTTGAAAGGCTTCTGGACTCACTGGTGCAAGATGAGAAAGGGGCTGTCTCTGGCTGACTCAGGTTATAATTAAATGGAACTTTTGAATCAATACACTGTTGTCCCCTAATATCAATTATGAATTCTTAACTTATCTGGCCACAATTTCATACTGTAGGAACTATTTTAGAAACACCTCTGTTTTTCTCTTGCTCCCTTATTGCTTTCATTAACTCATCAATACGTAATGAATAACTTATCCATATTAGGTATTGTGCCTAGTACGAGGGGAAAAAAAAAGAGATGAAGTAAAAACACAGTTGGGAAAGAAATGACTCAGAAAAATATGTTTAACTTTGAATTTTAATTAAACCTTTAATTTTAATCTTATGAGAAATGCCAATGTATGGGGCTGAAGAGATAATAGAGGGGTCATACCACTTGTCTTGTGTGCAGCAGACCCCAGTTGGATCCCGTGTATCATGTGGTCTTTGAGCACTTACATCCAGTAAGCATGTAGCCAGAAGTAGTCTCTGAGAGGACCACCAAGTGTGGCCCAAAACTCCTCCACCCATAACATATAAATGCCTGTTAATGTTTGAAATGTTCTGAAGAGGGATTGATACCACCACCTCATCATCACAGTTTTTGTTCTAATGATTTTTTTGCAAATAATTTAGGGGCTACAGAGATAATACAGGGGTTAAGGTGCTTCCCTTGCATGTGATTGACCCTATTTCAATCCACAGTGCCTCATGTGGTCCCCAGCCACCACTAGGTGTGATCCCTGAACACAGAGTAAGATATAAGTGCTGAGCACAGTGAGGTGTGGTCCAGTGTGGCACAACAACAAACTTGAGGTGCTGTCATTATGTGAATTTTTTTTTTCTAATTGTGCCAGTATTCTGAGAAAGTAGCACGACAGTTACACAATGGTGCTAATTATGAAGTGAAACAAAGGTATGCTGAGAGAAAAGTCAAAACTAGAGATCTGATGTCGTTAAAAAAAACCAGAGCAGGGATGTGAACTAGACCGGAAGTTTTGCACCAGCTGTGACAGAGTCTCAAACTGTTCCCATGTTATTTTCATTCACATCTGACAGGTTTCCTCAGTATTGACATTTTGGGTTGGATAATTCTCTGTACGGGTGGCTATTCTGTTCATTGGTAAATGCTTAGTAGCTTCTGTGACTGCCACCTACTGGATGCTAGCGACGTCCGTCCTTGTTTTGCCAATAAGATTATCCAAACATTTGGCAGTTGGTGGGGTCAAAATGACCCATAGTTGAGGACCACAAAAATATGAATATATTTTTTATCAAAGGCCACTTAAATCTTTTCATTCTAGACACATAGCTAGAAAGTCAGACTTAACCTATATATTTCACAACATTAAATATCTGATTCCTGATTTTAGGAATAAATAATGTAATAATGCCAAGCAAAAAAGAAATTCATGCACAAATGTGTAAATGAAAACAGGTAGAAAAGGCACCATTGATGGTGTGGTAAGGTACTTATAAACTTGTTCCCCAGTAATGGATTCTGTGTAGGACTTTGTCTCTGAGGGAGCTAGCTGACTCCTGGGGATTTGCTCATTGATTCAGGGCAGAGTGAGGTTTCTCAACAAAGCTATGAATTTATATTAACAACTCTGTACAGAAAAATAAGTTAAATATAAATTTCTATAGTTGCTGCTTATCCAAAATATACTTTTACAGAAACTTTTGTTAAAAGTTTTGTTAAATTCTTTTCACTTTTCCCATTTTTGTTTAGTTAGGACAAATACTTAAGAAGTTCACTCTAAGTAATCACAATATTTACTGTATCAGATATCCATGACACATCATTGCTGTTATCAAAGCATTACATTAAAACATGTTTTGTATTTATTGTAATTTTATCAAGTGTAAAAAGAATAAACAGATAAAAGGACAAATCTCTATTTGCATTCTCCCAGAATTCATGGCCATGAGCAGCTAGTTTGATCTTGTTTGATAGGTAGAAAAGAGAAAAGAGACGTAAAGGATTAAATTGTTTAGTCCTTTAACATTGTTGCTTATGATTTTTCCTCTCCTTATTTTGAAGAATATATAACAGGACTATGAAATTGAGAGGTGGCACTGCTAATAAAGTACATCCTTCTTCCTGGTCTTGTTTATATCAAAACAAACCCACGTTAATCTGATTTTATATACAAGTTCACTGAAGCACCTTATTCCTATAGTGTTATTTTAGTCTACTTGAATAGAGTCAGTGTATTAAGAGAATATGACACCAAGTCAAGGTTCGTTGAACTAAGTTTTAGTGTTTATGTTCATTTGTTCAGTGACCTTGGATTTGTTTTATTTCCTTATGGGAAATCCAGCAACATTAGACACCTTCTTTCTTCTTCGTTCTTTCTTTACATATTTGAAACACTTAATGCTTGTGTAATTGTTTTTACAGTTATCATTTATAAGGTTAAAAATAAATGCAGCTGCTTTATGTAAGCTAATACCTAAATTCAGTAAGAAGTTGAGAAAAATTTTAGTAAAGAAGGCAGCAATAGTTCTATATAGAAAACTCTTTGATGTCTTTGAAATGCAGGTGTTGCATAAATGTCTTGCTATTAAAAGGAAGACCAAGTGTTATAACATGTAGTTCTAGTTCTAGAAAGAGCTCGTGGTCATGTATAGCTTTTCTTAGACATGTCAGCTCCTGCCCGGTAAATATAATAGAGCTCTTGCAGAGACATGCAGCAGAACAATATTGCTTCTTTCCTAGAGGTGAAGTTTAAGATTTAGGACTTATTACTTGGATGGTATTTTGGAACTTTCAGCAGTTTTACTAACTTGGGATTTGGGAAGAAAGATCAAGGGGAAGGCAAACAAAAACAGTAAATTAATATTGAATGCTTTTTGTCATTTAAGCAGCTGTGTTTATATCTCATTGATAGATTAGCATAGTGGTTTTCTGTGTAATGACTACAAACATTTAACTGCACGGGTTTCCTTTGACCAGTGTAGGTTGGTTTCTATACAAATACTGGTGTAACCCTTCTGTTGCCCCTTCCCTGGGGAAGCCCCAAACATGAAAGCCTCTGGGTGCTCAGCAATGAAAGGTTCAATCCCTTCTCAATCAGAAATGCTGTTTGAGAGGATGATTCCTGCTCTCCTTGGTAGCAGAGGTATTCATCACACTTGAGCTGTTTTTTTTCATTGCATAATGGAGAGAGAGTACAATGGGAAATTTTTGGAAACTAGTCCATTTAGTGCATATATTGAGGGTGCCAAGAGAAATTAAAATGTACTAATAGGAGTTCCTATAAGCTCATATTCCAGGGTGATGACAATTAAATGATTCTAACATAATTGGAGTCAGGATATTAAGAAATAGGTCTCTCCTCTACCACTGATTAGCTCTATGATATTAAATAAAGCAAGGAAAAACCCTACTTCCTATATCTGTACCACGTAGATATTAACATGAGTGTCTTTTCTACTTTTGGTTGTTTAATTTGGGGCAGAGAGAGGACTTCCAAGTAATGCTCAGGACTCCCAAGTAATGCTCTGCATCACTGGGCTGGGCCACTCCTGGTGCTGCTTGGCTAAAATGGATGAGCAGTTCAAGGCCCAGCCCAGCCCAGCAATGCAGAGGGCTACCAGGGCACCCCCCCACCCCCCCTAGGGTTCTCCGGGAACACTAGGGCCACACCTAGTGGTGCTGGGATTTGAACATAGGTTTCTGCTGTGTGCCCCTGACCACAAACCATCTCCCTCACCCCCAAGAGAGGTTTCCGTTTTCCTACTAGTCAGAGAAGACTCTTTTTAACATGAACAGCCACTGTATTAGTCCATTCCTAAAGGAAATGTGTCTGTAAATGTTGACTTATGGGAACATTTTATAAAAACATCGCATCTTTGTAGTTGAGTTCATCCCACTACTGGCAGTTGAGTGCCTGATAGTACTTGACCTTGTTACTGGGAGAATCGAGCTGCCGTCACCTCCATGGTTGGATAAATGTTTTCTGCTTATGTTTTTACACCCATCACACTCTTTCTGATGTTTTCCATTCCTGCACTTTCAGGATCACCAACCTTTCGCAAATGCTCACGATGTCCTGGCCCGATCCCGCAGCCGCGCCAATGTCCTGAATAAGGTAGAATATGCCCAACAGCGCTGGAAGCTTCAAGTTCAAGAGCAGCGAAAATCCGTCTTTGACCGTCATGTTGTCCTCAGCTAATTGGGAACGAAACTCAAGGCACTAGAATGGAACAAGGCAAACAACTGGAAAAAGTTAAGCTTTCCTGGGTTTTGTTTTAGTGCCCCATTGATTCTACCATCTTTTGCTGGGAAATTCAAAACTGGAAACAAACCATGCTTGGTATTTTATTTTCTTGTTCATGTATTAATGCAAATGTTTTTAAAAGCACACACCTCCAAGTCACCCCATAAACTTTTTCCTATATGTGAATTTTACTAATAAAAATAAATCTGCCTGTAAATTATCTTGAAGTTCTTCACCTGGAAGACACTCCTTTTCACCACACAGTTGTAACTTGGTTTTCAAGATAATTTTCAGTGTTGATTTTTGGTGTTTTCTGGCAGGGAAGGGGAGGGATTTGTGGGTAGTGTGTAACCTAACTTTTCTCAAGGCACTTTACTAAGTCAAATTTTGTAAATAGACTTTACCTTTACCTATTTTCAGGTTTCATTTATATTTTACAGCATAGCCTGTCTCATCAGAGCCTGGATTTACCCATTTGAATTTTGCACTGACTCTATATATCTAGGTATATGGTCAGCCTGTGGCTGTACTTTATGGTAAACTGGGTCTGAAATGCGTGGTGGTTCTTCACAAAATGCAGATTCTCTTCACGTACTGTGATGTCTGATGCAATGCATCCTGGAATGAACTGGCTCTTTGCTAGTTTTAATGACTAAACATAGTCTTGGTGTGTATAATCTTTCTCCTAGTATCTTTACAGATGAATCATAAGGACCTGGACATTTGCAATAAAGACATTTTTCTTTAAAACCCAAGGCTCCCTCACTGATGACATACGTGTATTTGTTAGCATTTCTGGTCATGTTGAGAGGCAGCTAGTGGAGCTCTGGTATGTTCAGCTTTGAACTTGGGACAACAAGAGTTCTGGGTTCCTCCTCTGAAAGATACAACAGCTACTGGATAAATGACTGCTTTACTTCTCCTGCCTCTTTGGAATGTAACAATAAAAGTAATTTTTGAAACACATGCTAATGTATTTTTATCTCAACTTTTATCTCCTTCTTTTGCTGTTCCTGGATTTGAAGATACAAAGATGTTTTGTACCTTGTATGACCAATTTTATACCACTCTCATTGTCAAATACCGGTACTAACTTTGCGTGCGTGCATGTGTGTGTGTGTGTGTGTATAAGTGTAGAGAAAGTGGATGAGACAACTTATGGAGACTTAGAAGAGTCTCTGAAGGCATATAAATATTTTGATTATTAGGCCCAGGTTTGATACCTAGCTGCACAAGTTTCCCAAAGCACTGTGTGGCTTTAAAACCAAAATAAATAAAATAAAATGGAGTGCTTGTTCTAAGAAATTCTTGGTTAAAGATATATTAGAATTAAATTACATCAGCTTTATCAGGGCTGTTGATGGGTTCTTTAGTCAAAATTTTTTTTAAATAAAATCAAATATAACTAAGTGATTGATTTGGTTGATAGTATTAAAAGATGAAAGCTCAACTAAGCACAGTGAGATTTATAATGGATATGCATGTCTAACTGAACATTTGAAAGTCAGTGAGTGAAATACATGGAAAGGGTAAAAAGGGAAAATGCCATTATCTTTTCAATAGATGCAGAAAAGGCTTTTGAAAAAACCCAACAACCTTTCATGATAAACACCTTCTTTAAAATAGAGATAAAGAGCCTCCTCACTTGATAAGCAGTATATCTGCAAATACCCATAGCTAACACCATACTTAATGGTAAGAAATTAGAAGATTCCCACAATGATAAAGAACAAGATGTACAAATGATGTGTCTTCGATCACACCTTTTCAGTATCATACTGCAAGTCCTCGCTAATGCACTAAGATTAGGAAAGAATTAAAAGGTATACAGATCACCTGAGTGTTGGGGTAAAATCCCAAATAATAATGGTGGGTCTGGTGTCAAAATATTGAATGTAATCAAAGTAGAGAGAGAGTAATGTGGAAATCATCTGCCCCACAGGTAGGGAGAGGGTTTGGGATAGGAGTATACTGGGGTTTTTGGTGGTGGAGAATGGGCACTGGTGAAGGGATGGGTGTTTCATTGTATGACCGAGACTTAAACCCGAAAGCTTTGTAACTGCTTTCACGGTGATTAAATAAATAAAATCATAGAAAATTTTAAAAAAAAAGGTGGGGTTCATGCCCAATTCAATCAGCCTAATCAGTGGCTGAATAAATTGTAGTACTCCTACATTAAAAAAAAAAAGTATACAGACCAGAAAAGAAGGACTAAAACTTTACAGATGACATGATTACATAGAAAATCTGAAATAACCAAGGGAAGGAAAGAAGCAGTGAACAAGTGATAGTAAGGTTACAGTATAGAAAGTTAAGGTCCAGAGTTAATTGCTTTCCTATCTGCAAGCAATGAATAAATGAAGTTTATGATATCAGGGACCTTGGGTATAGCTCAGTGGCTTAGGACCTATCTTGCAAACATCAGGCTGCAAGTTAAATTCTCCATGCTGCCACAGGTACTAGGCACAATCCTGGCAGTGCTGTTATCTGTTCCCTTGCACTGGAAATTATTTCTGGCCACAGCACAAGTAAACTTGAGCACGCCACTAAAAAGCTTGACCCCACCACCACCACCACCACCACCAAGTGAGCATGTGTGCGAGCAGCACAATTTAAAGAAGTGCAACCCTTGGGGCTGGAGAGATAGCACAGCGGGTAGGGCGTTTGCCTTGCACGCAGCCGACCCAGGTTCGATTCCCAGCTTCCCACATGGTCCCCTGAGCACCGCCAGGAGTGATTTCTGAGTGCAGAGCCAGAAGTAACCCCTGTGCATCGCTGGGTGTGACCCAAAAAGCAAAAAAAAAAAAAAAAGTGCAACCCCTGGCAAGCACCACAAGCTGATGTGTGACCTCCAGCAGGTACTATAGACTGGCACATATGGGAACCCCCCTTTTATATATATATATGGTATACATCTGTACATATGTCTATGCCTTTTGTCTTAGCACTCTCAAAATGAATTAAGTATAAACTAACACTGTATACGGAGTGTATATAAGGACAAGTTAACAAATGAAATCAGGTTCTGTGTTGTCAGTGCTTCCCCGTTTCGATCTGTAGAGTCAAAAGACAACCCCAGTCAAAATCCCAACATGTTTTGTGGAGATTGGCTAACTGAAAAGTTTGAAGAGGAGAGGGAGGAAAAAGCCTACCCAATCTTCTAGAGAAATGAAGTCACTCAGGGAATTGACACACTCTTGGACCTAGAGACTTGCTCTTGAGCTAAATAATCAATGTCAGTATAGTATCAGCAAAAGATTAGTCTCCAACAAATGGTATTGGAACAACCAGATATCACAGGCAAAAAAAAAAAAAGTTAATCTTCCACCCTTCACAAAAATAAATTCAAAATGAGTGGTAAGCCTCAATGTGAAACACAACATACAAGAATCAGAGGGCCCAGGGAAAGCTCACTCCCTAAAGCCACATATTATGAAACTTGAGTTTGACCCTGGGAATCATCCCACATGCCTAAGGGCAACCGTAACTCTGCTGTTTAGGGTTCTGGGTGTTCCAATAAAGTCTGCAATCTCTATAGAAAGACCTCCTAAAATTCAATGCTAATACAAACCACCTGATATTTTTGTTTGTTTAGTTTTTTTTTTTTGTAGGAGTACTGCTATTTATTCAGCCACTGATTAGCTGATTGAATTGGGCATGAACTCCACATGTTTGTTTAGTTTTTGGGGTCACACCTGGCAATGCTCAGTGGTTACTCCTGGCTCTACACTCAGGAATCACTCCTGGTGGTGTTTGGGGCACCATACAGGTTGCTGGGGATCAAACTTGGGTTGGGTATGTGCAAGGCAAGTGCCCTACCAGCCCCAAAACTTTATTTTTAAAAAATGAAGCAAGGATCTGAAGAGATATGTACCAAAGAAAGATAAACATAACAAGTATATAAAAAGATGCTCCATATCATCAGGAAAATATAAACCGATGCACAAGAAACCTCTTAGAATGGCCAATTTTTTTTTCTTTTTTGGGTCACACCCGGTGATGCACAGGAGTTACTCCTGGTTCATGCACTCAGGAATCTCCTGGCAGTGCTCGGGGGACCATATGGGATGCTGAGAATCGAACCTGGGTCAGCTGTGTGCAAGGCAAACACCCTACCTGCTGTGCTATTGCTCCAGCCCCCCAGAATGGCCAAAATTTTTAACACTGACAATGCCAACAGCTGTGGGCTGGTGGGAATGCAAAACGGCATGCAAAATGGTGCAGACTTTTTGGACAGCAGTTTAGAGGCTTCTTACAGAACACATTTACTATATGATCCAGCTATTGTACTGCCTGGTGATACATATCTAAATGAATTAAAATCTTATTCAATCACAATCATCCTGTTGTTCGTCGATTTCCTAGAGCAGGCACCAGTAACATCTCCTTCCTAGTCCTGAGATTTTAAAAGAGCCATTTCAATGCTTTTTCAGGGTTAGGAGAATGAGACCCATCATTGTTACTGGTATTTGGCATATTGAGTACGACACGGGAAGTTTGCCAGACTCTGCCGTGCGGGCAGGATACTTTTGGTGGCCTGCCAGTTTCTCCAAAGGAAAAATGAAATAATAAGATGTCGCGCGGCCGCATTTGTGGCCATGCACTTCTGGGAGCTGAATTTTATAGTCTCTGCGTCTTGGCTGTTGATGGGACCAACCTGGCACTGGCGGAAGCTGGTGGGTGTGACGCCTACCTACTGGAAGATGGGGGGGTCTGGGTGGAGAAGGCCCAGTCCCAATCTGAGCAGGCTTGGTAATCTTATTACCACACAAAAACCAGCTCATGAATATTTATAGCAGCTTTTCCTCTTAATTCCCAAAACTTGGAAGCAATAAGATGGCCTTCAACAGGTGAATGGGTCATATTAGTAGTCTGTACCAATCGGAAATGATATCTGCCTTGCAAGTGTGAGGTCACAGGCTAGAACCCCAGAGCAGCCCTCTCCGTGCTCACTGTTAGCACTGCAGCAGGATTTCTCAGTGCCCCAAATGCAACCTTCGGCGCACCACAGGGATAGGGCTCAAGTGTAGAGCACATGGCAACCATGTCCAAAGCCCTAAATTCAATCCAGAGCACCACAAGCCCACCCTGATCCAACACTGCAGAGTGCCCAGGGGGCCCTAACACTGCAGGGCCTGAGCACAATTAGAGTGATTAGTAATAATATAAAAGATATAGAGGAATATGAAATGTATATTATTAAGTGAGGGGAGCCAATCTGAAAAAGGTTGCACTATAGGATTCAAATGATATGACATTATAGCACTATAGCACTGTAGCATTGTCCTCCCGTTGTTCATCGATTTGCTTGAGCGGGCCCAGTAACGTCTCCATCATTGTGAGATTTGTTGTTACTGTGTTTGGCATATCAAATACTTCACGGGTAGCTTGCCAGGCTCTGCTGTGTGGGCTCTCCGAGAGGAGCAAAGGAATTGAACTCGGGCCGGCCTGGCTAGCCGCATACAACGCAAATGCCCTACCACTGTGCTATTGCTCCAGTCCCTATGACATTATAGAGAAGCTAAATTTTGGAGTAAAAAAAACTGGTTCTCAGATTTGGGAGGAAGGAAGGATTAATGGGTGGAACACCAAAGCTTTTTAGAGCAGGGAAACTCTTCTATATGACACTATAGTGGTGAAGACGTGTCACTGTACACTTGTCAATAGCTATAGAACGTAGAGCACTAAGGATGGATGTAATGTAAACTGTGACCTTCGATAATGATGTGTTAACATTGGTTCATCAATGATAACAAATGTATCATTGTGGATTGGGTTGTTAAAGTAGAAGAGGATATACATGTATCGGGCGAGGAGGTACATGGGAAATTTGTACTTTCTGTTCTGTTTTCCTATGTTCTAAAATTGCTCTAAAATGCAATCCATTTAGAAGAGACTATTTTGAATAGGCATTTAAAATGTTATTTGTTTTACTGGTTTGGGGGTGATACCAGCGGTGCTCAGGGCTTGCTCATGGACTGTGCAGAGAGATCTCTCCTGATGGTGCTCAGGAGAACACAGGGGCACCAGTGTCTGCTGTTGCAAGGTAAGTGTCTTAACCCCTGCACTATCTCTCGGGTCCAAGGTCAGTTAATATTTTTTTTGTAATGTAGGTTTACATTAACCTTATCAATTCTGCCCTTAATCTACTTAACTATTGACAAGATTAGTACATTTTAAGACTGAACTTAAGTTTCCACGAATAATTTTGTTATAAAATGACATCATCTATATGCATATCAGGGAGCCTTCCTTTAACAGAAAAATTTGTTACAAGACTTGAGTTTTGTAAACAAACCTTTCTACTTAGTATTGTTATGTGTTGTCATATCTATTAGGTAGGGGGAAAAAAACACAGCTAAACCAGAACTATGCAGTTCTGTTTAACTGTAAGCTGCTTTGCATATTGTTACTAAATGATCACCTATAAATCACATTGTCTGACCCAGCCCAAAATACAGCATCTTGACTGTAAAACTCAGGTAAGAGACTTCTCCAGGGTGACACATGGGGGGGATTAAGATGATTTTTTTTTTTTAAGAAAATCACTAATCAAGCTGATAATGCATTTTGTGAGTTACTAGATGGTTTCATTGTCTTAAACTATTAAATACACCCAAAGACTAAATAATTGAGCATTTGTAAATGATTTAATCATCTGGAGGCATGGGAAAATGGCTTAGGTCTAGATGTCAGAGGACTGGGGTATGTTCCTTGCTCTCTTGTGAGCTTTGCAACCTTGCCCAGGCACATCCTATGCGGGATTGAATCTTGGGTTTCTAAAGTCCCTTTCAGCCCTAACATTTGTATCATGCAATCACCATGAGTGCAGTTGCAGCTTTTTGTCTTTAACATGCAGTATCAAATCGCTGACATCCCTGAGAGTTGAATTGTTTGTGCTTAGCAGAGTATCTGGAATCTCTTAAGATTTTATCATTAAGGTAGCACTGTAGCACTGTCCTCCTGTTGTTCATCAATTTGCTCGAGTGGCAACCTCTCCATTGTGAGACTTCTTGTTACCATTTTTGGCATATCGAATATGCCATGGGGAGCTTGCCAGGCTCTGCCGTGTGGTTGGGATATGCTGGTAGCTTGCCAGGCTCTCCGAGAGGGGCGAAGGAATCGAACCTGGGTTGACTGCATGCAAGGCAAATGCCCTACCCGCTGTGCTATCGCTCCAGCCCATCATTAAAGGTAAAATCATTTATTTCCCAGAAAAGCTGAAATCCAGAAACCTGAAGTCTTCCCAAGATGGAAGCATTAGCCAAGCATGCATGTAGCTGTCCCCACAGAGCTGGGCATTAAGCGTGCAGTTGCTTGATCTGAAAACCACATCCTCAGTTTTGAGCACGACAGCCAGACTTCTTGAGGTTTCCAATTTTTTTTCTGATTTTTGGGTCACACCCAGTGATGCACAGGGGTCATTTCTGGCTCATGCACTCAGGAATTACTCCTGGCGGTGCTCCGGGGACCATATGGGATGCTGGGAATCGAACCCGGATCGGCCATGTGCAAGGCAAATGCCCTACCAGCTGTACTATCACTCCAGCCTGAGGTTTCTGATTTTGACCCGATTAATACAGTTTTCACTCTCTCCTTCTGTTGTGGTGACATGGCTACTGTGAACACATGATGATCTTATGTGAATGCTAGATGAACTTATTAGAAATGCCTAATAGATAAAAACTCATTTGGTGGCTCTCCAGAGATACTAGTCTCTCTTCCTAAAAAGTGTGCTTATACATTTTCTGAGATTAATTCCCAAAAATTATTTCCTAATTTTTATTAAAACCTTTTAATTACCCATGGCAAGCTCAAATGACTGAGTTTTCATCTGGATCAAAGCTTAAGATCATATACAAATCATCAGGCTATTTCCATACCTAATAGTGTGTGTGGTTGGTTTTAATGAGACCTGCCATGGGAGTTCTGTTCAGACTGGTGAGTTATAGGCTGGAGAAGCTCTGATGTGGCCAGAACTGGAGTAATATGGTTCCATACCCAAAAGTGCCACTTTTGTAGTTTTCACCCTAAAAATGCCCTTTACCCTCTAGAATTCTTGGCTTGGGAATTTCCTGACTCTTTTCTCTCAGCAACATTTCGCCATTTTCTTTTGACAGCATCTTGGCGAGTTTTTCAGCTTCCAGAGATTTTTTTAGTTTCATGTTAGTTATTTTAGGCCATTGGGTCAGTAATTTGGAATCTTTCATTTCCTGTGCCTCTATTATGATTTTTAATTGGACCAGTCACACTTATCTCATCCCCCACCCACTTATTAGGGTGAACTTTTTTCCTGGCATTTGCTCTTTTCCAGTTACTTCCTTCTTCTCCGTGACTTCTTATAACCCTTCCAACCCTCTCTTCTCAACATACACCCCTGCTGCTGCCTTTTCTATCACCACAAAAACAAAGTCAGCCAAGATAGACTAGCCAGGCTTTTCCTTGAGACTTGAAATTCACTGATTCACTAATTTTCTCATAAATGTTAGGGCTGTTTTTGTTGTTGTTCTTTTGTTTTGTTTTTGTTTTATCAGAGGAAGAAAGTCATTTTTCTGGGGGGTCACAGTGAGCATTTCATGTTGCTTTTCCTGTTCTGTTTTAGGTCTGCTCTACCCTCTCACTGTTCTGATTTCCAGTTTTTTTAATTTTTATTAGTGAGACACCATGAGGTACAGTTATAGACTTACAAATTTTGTGCTTGGGTTTCAGTTATACAATGATCAAATACCCATCTCTCCACCAGTGCCCAATTCCCACCACCACAGAGGCAGGATGGGATGAAGGGGATGGGGGCTGATTTCCAGTTTTTGAGAAAATGTGAGGTTTTTTATCAGGTGCAGTTGAGAGATTAAATACGGCCCAAATATCCATCTGTTACAGGAAACAGAAGAGTACTAATGACTGGTGCATTGGTTTTTGGTTTGTTTTTATTTTAATTTTTTTCTCTTTAATCCAATCACCGTAGTGTTGTTAGTACTCATTTGGTCACAGAGAGAAACTGGAGGTCAGAGAGGTTAACAAACTTACCTATGAATGCATAGCTAAGAAGGGAATAAGTCAAGACTGAAACTTTTTGTTTCATAAACCAAGGTTAATGCAACAGGGAAAGTGTTCTTTTTCTAAAGTACTACCTTGCTTTCCCTTAACTGGAAATTGTAGTTTCCCTGAAAATCTAAGATGACAATCATTGAAAGGTGAAAAATAGTGCTGGGTTGAGTCAGTTGGATGTAGAAAAAGGAAATGTGTTGATGTGGAACATCTTGGAAAATACACCTACTTCATTTTTGAGAAAACAATCCTGGAACTTTGGTGGTGGGTAGGGTAAGATATTTTGAAGAGGTTTGAAATTGTACCCTAAAATGTATAGCATTTTGTAAACTCATTATCTCAATAAAAAGAAAGAAAAGATACAGAAATTAGGAAAAAATGAAAGAGAATCTTAATGCAGGTTATCTTAACTCAATATGTTTGAAGTTCTAAGTTAAACTATCTGCTTTTATTTGGGGTGGGTGGTTAGCATACACTACAGTGCTCAGCATGAAAATCCCGGTGGGTTTGCTCTTGGAGCTATTTCCAGCCCCTGTAAATTGGCTTTTAAATGTTAGAGAAGTTTCTCTTTTCTAAAACTCCTAGCAAATTTTTAAGGACAAAAGGCTAATTTCTATGAGTTGGAAAGGTAATAAGAATGGTTAATGAGCTGCTCTGCATATGATCCACCCATGTTTATTCTCCCCCCACTCCCATCCTCTCCCCACTTCTCCCAACCCCTACCCCCAATCACGGAGCCAAGAATAACCCCTGAGCACCACTGGGTGTGATCAGGCTCCTTTCTGATATTTGTTTTCTGTTTTGGCATATCAGGTAGGGTTCAAGAAGGCTCTGTATGTGCTACTGCACAATCATTAACATTTCTCCAACACTCATTTGAATCTTGCAGTGTTTCAGGTTTCCCAAACCTCACTATTTGCATACATCCTCATGATCTCCATGTTCTGCCTGTTCTGTTAGTCACTTTCCATATTTCTCTAAATTAATTCCCCTTTGTTTTATTTCTCCAATAGATTTATTTTTTTTAAAAGAGCCATATATCTCTATGGGTAAATGTGACCTCAGTACAATTCACAAAATATAGCAATGTTCAGCAAACATTTTTGTTTGTTTGGGGTCACATTCAGTGGTGTTCACATTCAGTGGTGTTCAGGGGTTACTCCTGGCTCTGCACTCTGGAATTACTCCTGCTGGTGCTCAGGGGACAATATGGAATACTGGGGACAGAACCCAGGTTGGCCGCAATCAAGGCAAAAGGACCCTACCCACCGTATTATCGGTACAACCCTACAAGTATTATTAAGTTCTAACTTGATACTTGAAGACCTCCTTTAAGGGGGGTTAGAAAACGTTCCTGAACTGAAGACACTTGCCAGACTTAAGACTTCTCCGTGTAGCCCAACAAATGGAATCCATTTCTCACAAGGGAATTCCATGTACGTGAGTCTCCCTGTTACTATTCACAGAATGTTGGACTGTTGGACACATCCAGCTTTCAGAATGAGCTCAGAGATTATTCCCCAAAGTAGAACAATCTTTCAAACATTAATGTGGGGGCTGGGAAGCTCGCACAAAGGGCTGGGGGTCATGCCTGGCATGTGTGAGACCTTGAGTGTGATTCCTCAAACTCCGTGCCTTCTGGGCTACTATGGGGCATAGCCTTGGTGGTCCCTGATTGCCAGACTCAGGATCACTGGGAGTGGACTCCAGTGGTTTCCGTCATCCAGCACTGTCTGGGGGCTGCCCCTGCCCCCACCCAATCAAACACACACACACACACACACACACACACACACACACACACACACACACACACAGATTCCTGAGAAAGTCAGAGACAGCTGCATTCTTTCCATCTGGCCAAATTAATAAACTTGGTTCTGTTTCCAGGCTACGGAGGAAATGGACAATAGAAGTTACTCGACTCTGCCAGACAAACTGTCTGTCTTCTCTGATCCGGCCCACTTGCCCCTGACCAGGTCCTTCTATCTGGACCCCATGGTCACTTTCCACCTGTACCCCGAGGCCCCAGTGCCAAGCCCCTACTCTGAGGAGCTGCCGTTGCTGTCCTTCCCCAGTGACTCCCTGCTCATGGACACTTACGGTGACCAGTGTCCCTACCCCTTCCCGATGCCTTACCCGAGTTACAGAAGGTGTGACTACTCCTACGGGCCAGCCTTCATCCGGAAAAGGAACGAGCGGGAGAGGCAGCGGGTGAAGTGCGTCAACGAAGGCTACGCCCAGCTGCGACACCACCTGCCGGAGGAGTATCTGGAGAAACGCCTGAGCAAGGTGGAAACCCTCAGAGCCGCCATTAAGTACATCAATTACCTGCAGTCTCTTCTGTACCCTAAAGAGGCTGAGACCAAGAATAACCCTGGGAAATCTCCCACCAGCGTTGTCAACCCCAACCGTCACACAGACCCCATTTTTAGAATCATTTGATTCAGTGTTTCTGAAATAAAATTTTCCCTCCTCAAAATGAGGTCTCTACAGCATATTCAATAGCTTTTCCTGAGTGTGATTTCTGTGTGAGCTTGTAGGAGATCAAAGGCTAACCTATGCTATTTCTTATCGAGGTCTCAGATGCATTGAAACATGATTTTATAGAGACTGAGAAGATGCTTCTTAAGCTTTGGTAATTTCTTTCAAGAACCTTAGGGCCCTAAGGGGCTCAAGAAAGTAGAGTGGATGAGACACTTTCCTGGCATGCAGCCAACCCCAGTTTAATCCCCAGCACTGCACATGGTCTCCTGAGCACAGAGTCAGGAGTAAGCTCTGAGCACTGGGGGTGTGATAAAAAGAAACACTTTTTTTTTAGAAACACTTTTGGGGATCGGGAGTACACAACATTCTCTGGACCTGTCATCTTGCCCTTCTCGGATTTTGCCATTTTCACAAAAGTAAAGTATGACCTGTAAAGTATGACTACTCAATGCTTGTCATTGTACTGGGCAGTTGCATGCTAAGCAGTCCCTGTGAACTGCCCTTGCTTTGTTAAACTTGGTGGGCTTTATTTATGTTATTGAATTTATGGGTTGTGCAATATATGGATCAGACAAGGGCCTTCCCCAGGCAAGATATGAGCTCTTCCATGGAGCCACATCCCAGCTTATTTATTTACTTATTTACTCTTATGGTGCCAGGACCTCACACATGCAAGCCGGGACTCCACCGTTGGGTGATGCCCCCACACTGGTGGTTTCTATGATCTGGAGTTGATAAAAATTCTGCACCTGACCCATGTCAGGATGAGGCCACTGAAACACAAAGAGTTACCAAATCTGATGCCTTTGGATGTTTTATTTATTGAATCACCATGAGATACACAGTTACAAAGTTGTTCATGATTGGATTTCACTCATACAGTATTCCAACAACCCATCTCTTCACCAGTGCACAATTTCTGCCACAGATGCCCCCAGGCTCCCAGTTTCCCTCTCCTTCCCTTCCCCCACCCCCAGCTGGCCTAATCTCTCTCTCTCTCTCTCTCTCACTCGCTCTCTCTCTCTTTCTCTCTCTCGCTCTCTCTCTCACTTTTCCCTCCCCCAACCCTTCTTTTTGTACACTATGATTTGCAATACTGTTACTGAAAGGTTATCATGTTTATTCCTTTACCTCCTTTCAGCACTCAGTCCTTGTCCAGAGTGATCATTTCCAACTATTATTGCCATGTAGTGGTCCCTTCTCCAACCTAACTGTCTCCCTTTGAAGTTATTTTAGCTTTGTCTTTCCTGCAAGCTGAAGATCTCCTCAGAGGCTCAGTGCAGAGTTTGAAGAGGGCAATCGCTCTGGAGTCAAGCTGCCTCTGATTAAACCAGAGGTATTCAAACTTATTTGGCTTTCTGCTCTCTTTAAAAAATAATAATAAAAATAATAATCACACAGAGCTTCCCTGGAAATCTGCCTTCTTTAAGAGAACAAACAGGAAGTGCCCCTCCTACCAAGCACCCTGGGTTTCTATGGCTACCCCAATCCTTCCAGTTGCCCCTGGGGTGGGCTGGGGACACTGCCCATTTGGGGAATCAGTGCTTTAAATTATGATTCTGCTGCCTTTTGTCCAGAAGCAGGAGCTGAGATTTTAGGGAAACCAGCTTTAATTTTTTCACAGCCTTCTGGCTGCAAGCAAAGAGTGAAAACAGCAAACTACCGCAGAGAAGGATGATGAGAGTAAGAAGGACTCAAAACCTTTATCTGTGGCTGTCATCTCCAGCTTTGCCCTAGAGCAGCTCTTCCTTCCTGGCCAAGACAGCCCCTACTCCCCATCTTTCTGCGGCCTCCAGACCAGCCCCACTCCTAATCCCTGATAGCATTAGCCTTCCTCAGACCTAACTCTGGGTCTCACCTGTCACCAAGGTCAGTCAGGGCTTGTGCTCTTCATGCCCATTTCCATCTCTGTGAAGTCCTCCGCTCCTAAGGGAAGTCTTTATTTTGGCTTTTTGGGTCATACCCAGTGATACTCAGGGGTTACTCCTGGCTCTGCACTCAGGAATTACTCCTGGTGGTGCTCTGGGAACCATATGGGATGCCAGGGATCAAACCCAAGTTGGCTTCATGCAAGGCAAATGTCCTCCCCACTGTACTATTGCTCCAGAATCTGTGGAAGATTTTTTTAAAAATTATTTCCTGCTCCCTTTACTCACCCATTTCTGCCTTCTTCAGTGTACTGTAGGCTCTTTGAAGAGGAACAGTCTTATTAATCCTATATTCAAGCACCCAGCTGTGTCAGTCAATAGATAATGCAATTATTTTCATATTCCAACCCTTGTCTCTGTGCCACTAATGACAGTCTTCTCTCTGGTCTCAGGGTGCAGTCATCAACCAACTCCATGCTCCCTCTAATGATTCCTTAAACCATTTTATGTTATTTTTGCTGCTCAAGTACTTGATGACCATCCCATGTTGCAAATATATCTCCGTGGCTTTGCAGGCTCCCACCAGTCTGCTTTCTTTTCAATATCTACAACTTAGATTTTCCGATAACACTCTATCATCACCTCTGCCCCCGAAAATTAGTCTTGCAAGTGCATCTTTTCCCCTTACTTCTTCCTACCTAGCCTTGGAATAGTCTTTCTTTCCCCCCACCACCATTGAAATCTTGCCTGTGTTACTCAAGAACCCTTTTCTCACAACCAAAGACTTTATTGGTTTTACTTGGGCTCTATACAAATGGGTATGTGATCCCAGACAACACACATTCTCCTGCCCACGAAGCTCTGCTCAGTTAAGATGCCTTGGTCTGTATGAGAGAGAGAAATTTTGGTTCACATGACTCAAGTTACCAGCAATAGGCCTTCCTTCAGGCAGTGTTCAATACTGTCAACAAGAACCTGTTTTCTTTAGTCGAAGCTTGTCTTTCTGTGGAAATCACGCTGGTATTCCCCGAAGGCTCCCAGAATCTGGGCTTTCTTATCTAAGCCTAGGAGGGAAGGGGAAGTCTAGAACCCTACACTCCCGACATAGTCAGGAGATTCCTTCTGAGTGGAGACGCTTGGTAACAAGCCCACGCCTGCGGTCAGGGCGATGGAATGTGCTGACTGACATGCATTCCACCCCCGGTACTGTTGGTCTCTGCTAACCACATGGATCCACAAACAAACAGCAACCAGAAGGACAGGACAGACGCCCACAGTGGTGGTCCTCATCCAACCCAGTCCTGCCACACTGGTGCTCAAGGGCTGACAGACACTTCTTACGGCTCCTCCCTTGAATTCAATTCAATTCAAAGAGGATCCGAATCCAGACTGCGGGTTGATTTCTTTGGTCACCAGTGACCACCTCCCCCTCTTTTAAACTGAATCACCGTGAGATAGTTATTAAACTTTCATGATTGAGTTTCAGTCATACAATGATCATACAATGATCAAACACCCATTCCTCCACCAGTGCACATTCTCCACCACCAATGTCCCCAATATCCCTCCCACCTTCCCAACCCTCCCCCACTCTATGGCAGGCACCTTCCTTCTTACTTTCTCTCTACTTTAGGGCATTATGGTTTGCAACACAGATACTGAGAGTCCATCATGTTTGGCCTACTTTCAGCACATATCTCCCATCCAGAGCGATCCCTTCACCTGTCATTGATTTAGTGATCCCTTCTCTACCCAACTGCCTTCTCCCCCAGCAAGTGAGGCAGACTTCCAAACCATGGAGTGATCCTCCTGGCCCTTGTCTCTTACTGACCAGTAACCCTTCAATACCGACCAGGGTCACCAGACCTGTGCTCTTAGCAGAGCCAGCCCAGCCTGTGAACACAAACATGTCCACACCTTTAGGTGATTTTGTTCAAACTGTGGTCAAATTCCATCTTGCAGACTTTGCCCTCACCCAAGTCTCCAGCTTACCCACGTGGAAGCTAACCTGTAGCCTTGAATTTGGAGAACCACCCTCAACCGCACCCCCACCCCACGCCGGACTTCCGAAGTCCCCTCCAGGCACCCTGGTCCTCTTTGCACATGCTCAGTTTCCCTCGCTGGGACCGCAGCGTCCCCACATCCATGGCAACCTGCTTGGCAACGGGGAGTCGGTTGGGCTGTGGCCTGGAGCCCCAACTGTCAGCAGGGTCGGGCTGAGGCTGCAGGAAAGGCTGTGGGTAAGTCCCCCTGGGGGTCAGACCTGTGACACGGGCAGGCAAGGACAGTAAGTAGGCTGGAGAGGGAGGCAACATACGTGCCACCACCTCTGAACCAACAAGTCTACGGAGGCAGCCACCCTGCCCTCCGCGCCCAGCTAACGGGTCGGGAGAGCAGGGTGGTCTTCGGGATGGGGCCAATTTATCCTGGTTTAGGGCTGAGTGAGAGGAACCAGGGTCCTTCCACGCTCTGGGTCCCTGCTCTAGGGGAGAACGAGCCAGGTCCGGGGTTCCCATATTTTACCAACGGAGCCTAATCGAAGTGCAGAGGGGAAGTGAGCACCCAGCCAGCAGGCTGGGGGGAAGGATGCAAGGCTGGAGCTGTCTACACGCACAGGTCTCGTCCTCGTTCCTGACCCCTCGACGCCCCCAGCCCTGAGCTGAGCTGCCCTGCGCGTCGGGGTTGCCGGGTGGGGCGGGGCCGGGCGGCGCGGACGGCGACACAGCGCCCTCTGCTGGGCTGTTGCGCTGCGGCGCCGTGATGCTCGGGCTTGTTCGCAGGTGCTTTCTCCAAGGCCATGGAATCTTCCTCAAGGTCTGAGATGCCTTTGCTCAAGTACTGCAGCGTGGCCACAACCCTGAAGGCCCCCGCCTGGGCTGGCGCTGCTCCTCCCTGGGACTTCTCCTTCACCTGCCCTTTTGCCCTGCGAGCGCCCTGGCTCGGCAGACACAGTCCCCTCACCAGGTACAGGTACTGGGAGGGAAAGAGGCGTCTGGGGAGGCTGAGAGGGCTCCTTCCTATGGACCCCAGGCTCAAGGCAACGCCCTGTGATATCAAGGTTCACCTGACTTTTGTCCCCCACCTTAGAGTGGCAGATTTCAGAATTGACAAGTATAAGGTAGTTAGGCCTCGCCCCAGTGAAGAAGTTTCTAGCTGCTTCTTCTTTTTTTAAAAAATGATTTTTATACATTTTATTTTCATAAAGTAGTTCACAATAGTTCATTACAGATAATATTGAAACACCCACCCAACCAGTGAGCATCTTCCCACCACAATAAGAGGGAAGTGTGTGAAGGTTGTTGTATTTCATTCTGGGGCCATCTAAGCTCATCTCTACAAGAATACAAGCAAGTATGTTAAAACCAAACACACGTGTGCTACTTTAGGTACATCAGTGGTTCTAGTTTCTTTTACTGGCAGCTATGAACTGACCCAGAACCACATGATACAATTGAGTTTCTGTCAATTAAGTGTGAAAGGCAGTTGGGGGAAGGAACCAGGAACCGCAGCCTGGAAGCCCATAGGATTTGTGTATCTCAGGGACTCAGCTCCGTAATTCGGTCTGCCAAGTTTAGGGATACACCAGTTCCCAGCCTCTCATTCTTGGTTCACTCATCGGGAGTACCTCATTCAAAGCCAGACCTGAGCAACCTTCTATCAAGGTTTGCCTCCTGTAGGAAACAGCCGCTTGAGAAATGCAAACCCTGACTCAACAGTTCCTCTGGCTTGGCCCTGCCCACATACTTCCCCAGAACTAGCTTCTCCCTTTCCTGTTCCATCATCCTTTAGTCAACCCCTTTGCACTTCCCCTCTCAATCACTTCCTCTGCCCTCTGGCCCCACCGCGTCTTGAGCCAGTAACACTCATACCTCACACCTCATCCCCAGTCCCACATGACACCACCTTGGTCCTCTTTCCCTGCTTGCTGCCTAGTCTCAGATGCAGCATTCATCAATTTAACTCTGTTCAGGCACATCATTCTTTTTTTTTTCCTTTTCTTTTTGGGTCACACCCAGTGATGCACAGGGGTTACTCCTGATTCTGCACTCAGGAATTACTCTTGGCGGTGCTTGGGAACCATATGGGATGATGGGAATCAAACCTGGGTCAGCCGCGTGCTAGGCAAATGCCCTACCACTGTGCTATCGCTCCAGCCCCAGGTGCATCATTCTTTTGATGACCTAGAAGCAATCCCCTTCCCTGTCCCAGCCTCCCGAAGGCAGTTCTCACCAGAACCCAGAGGCTGTGCTATCTGGTCCACATGCCTGTGTACGCCGTCCATGCACTGGGGTGCTCCTCAGCTTCAACGGCAAGATCTGATGATTGTAAGACTCGCCTCCCCTTCTCCCTAATTCTGTTCACCCCAGGGATGCATCCTATCATCCCTGTCTCCACATGGCTAACCCAGCATGGCAGGGAAGAGCTGGAGACGTCGCTGACACACGAGTCTTGGCACAGAGGGAGCCGGATGGCTTTTATTACCCAGCTCAGATAAAGGCTGCTCCAGAGGTGAGTCCCTAGCTCCCCACACATCCCTGCACACTCCTCTGAGGGTCCCTCTTGTACCCAGTGTGCCTTGGCAGGTGTCTTGGCTAAACACAGATCTTCTGGGACCAGAAGGTAAAAGTCACAATGCAGTATCATTGAGTTTGCTTGTGGGTTAGGGATGTGTAACAAGAACAAGCCGAGTGGCCTACAGGACAGCAAACTGTGACCTATTGGTTCTGGACACCGCAAGTCTTTTTTTTTTTTTTTTTTTGCTTTTTGGCTCACACCCGGTAATGCACAGAGGTTACTCCTGGCTCTCATGCACTCAGGAATTACTCTTGGAGGTGCTTGAGGGAGACCATATGGGGTGCTGGAATCGAACCCGGGTCGGTCACGTGCAAGGCAAACACCCTACCCTCTATGCTATGGCTCCAGCCCCGACTGAGACTGCAAGTCTTGAGGTTAGCTGGGTGGCTTCTTTCTGAGTCATGTGAAGGAGAACCTGTCCCATGTACCTTTCCGAGTTTCTGGTGGTTTGCTGGCAATCTTCAGTATTCCTAGGCTTGTGGATCACCCTTGCCTCTGTCTCATCTTCACCTGGTGTTCTTTACTCCTGGTTCTGCTCAGGGATCACTCCTGATGGCGCTGGGGGTGGGGACGGGACCATGTATGGTGCCAGGGATAGACCAGAGGTTGGCCATGTACCAGGCAAGTGTCTTACTCACTATACTATCACTCTGGCCCCCGAGTTTCCCCTTTTGATCCAGACATCAATCATTGGAGTCAGGGGCCCAAACAACTCAGTCATACTCAGTATGGCCTTGTACTGAGTAATTGCATATGCGGTGACCCTATGCCCAAATAAGATCACATTCAAATGTATTTGGAATTAGGACTTCAACACAGGAATATTTGGGGGTTTGGTGGCATGGGGGTTGGGACTGGGGCACTGTGGTAGAGCACTCTATGAAGTTTTTGACCCCCTGCAAAAAGAAACACACACACACACAAAAGTATGTGTTGTGCACACATGTGTGTGTCTGTACCACATAGTCAACCTGCAACGATGAAGAAAATGTTCAGTTAAAGTGCTTTGTTTAGGACAATTCAGGGTGTTGAATATTAGACAGCAGCTGGAGGAAAAGAGGAATGTGTCTGTCCTGGAACACAAAAGCAAACCTGGGGGCTGCCGGGGGGCTCATGCCAGCCTGGCCTCACTTCTCTGCCATTTCCATCTGCTTTTCAGAGTCAGACTTCTTTGGGAATTACTCCCGACTCTGCTTGTGGTCACTCCAACAGACTTATAAATGCAGTTACATGGAAGGAAGATTTGTGTGACTTTTAAAAATATTGATGAGGGCCCAGAGAGATAGTACAATGGGCAGATCACTATTTGCCTTGCACGCAGCCAATCTGGGTCTTATCCCCAGTACCACATATGGTTCCCTGAGCTATGCCACGAGTAATCCCTGAGCACAGAACCAGGAGTAAGCCCTGAGTAGAGCTGGGTTTGACCCCAAACCAAAAAGATAAAAAAAAGGATGAATTACAAAATTTCCCATCGAAAGTCATCTTTCATGTAACAAATACGTGAATTCAAATGAAATGTTTGTAGACTTTTGCTCAAATGTAGGTTCTGTCTAGTCATTTGACAAAAAAGTAATGTATAACCAAACTTTCTCTTCAAAAAAAAAATCTGTATTTACAGTTGGTTTAAGCCTTTCACTTGCCTTTTCTCCCATGCTTTGTGGCATTGCTGAGGGCCATAGCCACTCCTTGCCCATGTGGGCCACGGGGGATGAATATGTCAGTGCTGCTGCATCTCACCATCAAGGACATTTCTGTGGAGAGTGCGATACATGTCAGGGAAAGCCGCAGAGAACCAGCTGCTCCTGGAAACTGCAGGCCAAAACTCTAGCCGGGAGTAAAGGAAGGGAAAGACAGGAAGTGCCACATGGGAGCTGCCCATGACAAGAGACTGCTGAGAGCCAAGCGCGTTTACCTCGGCCCCTGTCCTTATCATTCTCTCCATGACCATCACTGTCCAGAAGGGAGTTCTTGAGCTCGGTGCTGGGGGCGTTTTTTTGCTTTTTGTACTTTTGTACCTTTCGACGCCAGCTCTCAGTCTGAGTCTCTTCTTTCCGCAGCTGGAGAGGCAGGGCATCATGCTGGTGGAGTTTGAAGCTCCCCTGGTCCCAGCCCCAGAGCTGCCAGCCCAGCAGCGGGGTTTGGTCTTAGATGAAGATGTCATTCGGTTCTCACCACCCCTGGAATACGCCCTGCAACCTGGGGACAAGGTGATGGCCCCATGGGAGCCAGGCCAGCTGCGATATGGCCCCGGCACCGTTCTCTTGGACCTGGAGGCAAAAGGCCCACGCAGAGGTGAGGGAGGCTGTTCTGACAGCCCCGGTCTTGGGAAGGAGCCATGTGGCAGGGTGCAGCAGGGACTGCCACAGTTCTGGGAAAGTTGTCCTTACATGGAGTTTGATCCTGAGGGTGATACACAATGATATCAGTGGATATACAAATCTTTCTTTCGGATTATAAATTAAAAAAAATAAATCAAAGGGCTAGAGAGATAATAGTATAGGGGTTGCACCACTTGCCTTGCACACAACTGAACCAGGTTCAATTCCCAGCACCCCATATAATCTCTCCAGCTCTGCCAGGAGTGCTCCCTGAGCAGAGCCAGGAATAAGCCCTGAGCACCGCCAGGTGTCGCTCTACCCGCTTCCTTGTATTTCTGGGTTTTTTTTGTTTTTTTCTTTTTGGGTCACAACTGGTGATGCACAGGGGTTACTCCTGGCTCTGCATTCAAGAATTACTACTGGCAGTGCTCAGGGACCGTATGGGATGCTGGGACTCGAACCCGGGTTGGCTGCGTGCAAGGCCCGCTGTACTATCACTCCAGCCCTGCTTCCTTATATTTCTTAACTATAAGGACAAGGTCGCCTAAGGCTCTGCGTCTGGTTGCTCAGCTGACCCTCGAGGTGGTGGCCTCCTTCAACCTGCTCCCCACCCAGTGATCTGAGCACTGGGACAGAACAGGTGCTTCCTCCCTCAGTCAGTCAGCCCTGCTGTCATCCAGAGAACGACAGAAATGCCCTGTGTCTAGGAAGGCGTCTCCCCCAGCCCCGGGAGGCCTTGTGACATGAACATTGAGCGGGAGGGTTCCTGCAAGGACACGGGGGGCTGGAGCCAGTGCGGGAATGTTCCGGGTGGGCGCTCCAGAGAGGGGACCTCTCAAGGCTCTGTCTTTGGGGGAAGGACCCTAGTCCCACCGCTGAGAAATAGTCATCATTGCCCTTTTGTGTTATGCAGCAACTACAGAAGATATTACCGTCTGCTTCTGGAATGGCAAGATAGCTACAGTGCCTGTGGCTGGGGTCCGGGGAGTGCCCCCAGCCGTCTGGAGGAGAGCTGTGGAGAAGCTGCTCAGGGGCGCTGGCCCGCTCCCTTGGGCCCCTCGCTGCTCTGGCTGTGTCACCAGCAGGCTGCCTCTGGGCCCTCCATTCCTGGGCTCCCCTGGCCCCCCTGCCAGGTGCTGCCAGCTGCTGTGCCAAGGCTGCCACTGCTGCTGTCCCTGGGTGGGACCTGGCTGGTGGCCTCTAAGCAGGCCCCCACGGGTCACCTCCAGAGAACACCCAGAGGTGGCGCCAAAGCCCCTAGCACAGCTGTTGCCCCTCAGAAGCCTCCAAGAGGAGGAAGGAACGATGGCACCCTTGGCTATTTCCTCCTCCTCCTCCTCCTCCTCCTCTTCCTCTTCCTCCTCTTTGGATGAAGATGACTTAGAGCATGATCTGGAAGTGGGCCTCCCCCAGAGACTGATGGTGGACAGCACAGTCAACACGGACCCCCTCTTTCTGGAGAAGCCGGCCAGGCAGGGCGGCCTCCGCCAGCCCGAGTGGAGGTACTGGAGGAGAAACAGGCCTGAGCCGCCTCCGCCTCCGCGGAAGCCAGGCATACCTTCCCCGAAGCAGGGCTGAGCCCCGCTGCTCCAAAGAGGATGCCCAGAGCAGAGCCACCGTGAGGGGACTGGCAGGAACCCTTTGGGTGGTGGCCGGTGGAGGGGCTGGTCTAGAAGGGAGGTGGGAGTTCCCCGTGTAGGCAATAAAGCTCCAGAAAGGATGGACGGATGTTTGCTGTCATGTCTGCTTTTAGCTGCTGCTTTTCGTCTGTTAGACTCAGGCAGATCTGCTATTGTCCACTTTTGTTGGTTCTCCTGGGTCCCCACTTTTTTTAGGGGAAGGCTTGATTTTTCTCTCTAAACGAAGTCAAAGCACCTTCATATAGTAAGCACCTTAGAAACATAGAAACTGGTTTTTTAAACATGAATAATTGGTCTTTCTCTCCCAGACGGGGCCTTAGTACGAGCTGGGAAAGTAATGTGTTGCATTGGGAAGCTCCTCCTTTACAACTTAATGGACGGCAGAGCGGAGCTGTCATTGGTAATCTGCAGCTGTTCCTCAAACTTATTGCTGGGGGAGGGGAGCAGATCTCACAGTGAGGCTCATAAACGCTAGTCCCAAGTCTCAGGGGGCCATGGTACACCAGAGATTGAACTTGGGGCACCCGTGTGCAAAGCTCCGCGAGACATTTCACTGGCCCTTCCCCTCCACTTCTTTGCCTTTCACTAAGCACCATGGAATAAGGCCTCGTAGGCTGCGGAGTGTGTCATGATATACCCGGTGCCCTGTCTGTCTAAATTCCCAGGGGGGGCTTTGAAAGAGCAGCGGCCAGGGCCATCTGGCAGAGGAGGCAGGGGCAGCAGCTCTGATAAGTCTGATTGGAGACTAGTTCCTTGGACTCCCTGAGAACACTAAAGCTCAACGAAGCCAGGACTACTCACTCTGCAAGGTTCAAATCTACCACTGTAGGAGCAAGGAGATATCTCAGTAGTTTGATTCCTGGCATCACCTGGTCTCCGAGCATTACTAGATGTGGTCCTGGAGGCTGCAGTATTCCTGCAAAGGCCCAGGAATACCCACCACAGCAGGACCCAAGTGGCATCACACCTTGGGCCCTTGCATTGAGCCAATGCCCCGTTGGCTGAGAATGGTTGGTGAGGCCCTGGGCCTCCTGAGAAATGCTTGGGAAGCCCCCTGCCCACACCCCCCACCCAAAAAAGTCTACACAGTCGAGGGTTTAAGAAATTCTTAAAAAAAAAAATTGAAAAATAAATTCTAGGCACTGATCACATTGGGACCTGTTGTGAGTCCTTGTTTAAAGCCCAAATCCCATTTCTAGGACAGCTGCTCAGACAGAGGGCTTTAGTAAGGGGGTAAGGATTTTATATGTCTTGGTTTCCAGAAAGTGGAATTATTTCTACAAAGAGAAACTTTCAGGTGACTCCCTACACCCCTGGGCTATAAGGATGGGGATAGATCCAGGTTCACTGCTCTTTTTTTTCTGCGAAAGATGAAAATGTGGGATCTCCAACACCCTCTCTCGTCCTCACCCCCACCCCCACGAGGAAATAACTAGAGGAACCAGAATGGAGCTGACAACTGAGCTCATCCTCCCCTTTCAGTGGAAGTTTTATACTGAAAAGAGAGAGGTTTTCTTAGTAGAAATAGGAAGATATCTCAAGATTTTGTGATGTGTCAATGGGGTCTTATAGTGGGAGGCCTTGGCAGAAACTATGTGGAAACAGCAATTTCTACCAGAGTTGCCCTCATCTAGTGGTAGAGGAAATGGTTCTAAAATTTTGTTTCCATGCAAAATTCTCTATAGCGTCCACTGCCTTCTGCTTTAGCCCAGCTTGGAAAACAAAAGGTAGTACCTACCCCATAGAGAGTGGAGCATGTGTGTGTGTGTGGGGGGGGGGGGGGCGGGGGCAACCGAGCCTATGTCAGGCCCAATGCCAGAGAGAAGAATACCAGTGGGGGTAACCAGAGAGGCCATGGTGGTTGGACACGCCCCCGGGTGTAAGTCTGGGTGGCCACAGTGACTTTCTCCAGAGTTCTCTGGCCTGGTCCAAACCTACTTAAGTCCTTGGCTGGAAGCCTGCACTGCTCTTATCACCACTCTTCAGCCTCTTACCTCTCCAGTCATTTTCTTTCCCCTCCCCTGTGCTGCTGCTGTTTTAGTGTTCAAAATAACATGAATCAACAGGCAAAAAAACAGAAATGTAACAATGTTGATATGATAGCTTAAAGATCTTTAGGTCACATCAGTAACTTTTAAATTGGTTATTTTTTTTTTGAGCCACACCCTGCATTGCCCAGGAACTCCTGGTGGCACTCAGGGGACCATATGTCATACCTGGGATTGAACTGGGGTCAGTAATGTGCAAGGCAAATTCTTTGACCCCCCACTTTTGCTTTCAACAATTTTTAAAATTTAGATTACACCTAGGAGTGCTGGGGTTGGGGGGTTCATTCCTAGTGATGGTCATGGGACTAAAGGGTGCCACGAACCAGGGTCGGTGGCATGCATGGCATGCCTAAACCCCTGTGCTATCTCTCTGGTCCTGATTTTTGATCCTTGAAGTCACAATTAGACCTTTTTTAATTTTTTATATTTATTTATTGAATCATTGTAGGAAAAGTTACAAAGCTTTCAGGTTTAAGTTTCTGTCATGCAATGATTAAACACCTTTCCCTTTACCAGTACTTATTTTTCACCACCAAGAACCCCACTATACCGCCCCTCCCATCCTTCCCAATGCCTGTGAGGCAGATGAATTCTGCTTAATTCTCTATCTACTTTAATTACATTCATTAGTTCGACAAAAGATGCACCATAATTGTTTAGAGTTTACACCCAATAAGCAGAACTGCTGAAAAAGCATTGTGAAATAATTTGTTTTCTACAGCTGGTTATGGGAACCATATGATTTTGGATTTCTGATATTTTACTTATTAGGCCTGGAGGGATTTCACCCAGGAGCCAGATAATTACGAGATTAGTTTCTGTGGCTCTGGAGCCATGGCCGTGCCGGAGAGCCGCTCGTGGGGGGCAACTTGTGACCTCGGTAGGGTGTGAAGGACAAGCCGGGAATGCCCCCCTTCCCATGAGGTTGCAGTTGCCCCGACACTGCCGGCTCATACCTGGTTTTCCAATAAGCTTTGAGGCAGCTGCCATCTTGCTGCCCAGGGGGAAAAAGGCGGAAGGGGGCGACACCCCTTCCCTCCCGGGGAGGCATGGTACCATGGATTAATGCATAGTCCGTTCACTTTTCTGCTCCAAGCTGCCGGGCTCTGTATTAAGTCCTTGTGCCTCTGGAGCCATGGCCGTGCAGGAGAGCCGCTCGTGGCGGGGGAACTCGTGACCTCGGTAGGGTGTGAAGGACGAGCCCGGAACGCCCCACTTCCCATGAGGTTGCAGTTGCCCCGTCACCGCCGGCTCATACCTGGCTTTCCAAAAAGCTCCGAGGCGGCTGCCATCTTGCTACGCAGGGGGGAAAAGGCAGAAGGGAGCGACACCCCTTACAATTAGACCTTAAAACCTTCCGTTCTCATTGGAAACTGAGAGGGAAGGGGTTGGAGGGGAGAAAGAGAGGGGTGGAGGAAGGGAAAGAGAGAGAGAGAGAGAGAGAAAGAGAAGTGGAGGGAGGAACGAAGGGAGGGGGAGAGAGGGAGAATGTGCTGGGGATGCAGCTCAGTGCTAGGTTTTGATGCTAAATATGAAGGGGGGGGGCGAGGCGGAACTATCGAGGAGTTAAAGTGACTAGTAAGACCTTCTATAATGGAGAATAGGAGAGCTGGCTACAGGTGACCAACGAGTAAGAAGCAACATCAAGACTTCCTCACATCTGAGAGCAGGAAAACACCTGCCTGCATGTGTAAGAGAGACCAGAGCATGTAGCCAGCACTCACGCCTCGCCACAGACCAGAGAGATCAGCCTGAGGATCCTCTTGCACAGAAGCTACAGTGCATGCTGGCCTGCAGTGGGCAAACGTGTTCCCAAGCTTCCTGCCATTACTTTCATAAAACCTACAGTTGTACCTGAGTGACATTTTATTCCCCCTAAATACCAATAAAAAGAAAATTTTGTTCATTTCCAAATCTCTCCCTTTATTATCATAATTAACCTTTCCTTAAAAAGCAAGCAGTGAGAACTGCACAAACAGTATCATTACATTATTACTTTTGGACAAGAAGGATGGGGGTAACTTCTACACTTTTAAGTTAAAATAGGCACTTTTGACAAAGACAAGACTCCATTCTCAGGAAGGCTGACCGTCAAGAGTCGGCACTAAGCAGGATTACCATGTAAGGAAGAGCAGAACAGGAGGTTATTATTGCTACTTGAAAACAGGTAACAGGACGGCTCTGATTAGCAACGTCAGGCGGGGAAGACCAAGTCCACACTCTGGCCTGAGTCCACTGCCACCACGTGAGTCTTCCCAGTTAAGCCTTTTGAACACACGGTGACAGAGTAGGTCCCTGGATATACTTCTATGTAGAGGTCCTTAGAGATGGTCTCAGTCTGAAAGGAAAATGAGTAACAGCAGAGATCAGACTCTTACATCCTACACCGTCAGCAGCTGCCGCCAGCTAGCTTTGGATGCCAGAGTGCCAGGGAACGAAGTACCACAGTGGGAGATGGAAGGCCTTCTTTCAAGGCTCTACTGGGCCACGCCATAGGACTGTCAGATAGGCTTAATTCTCTTGTGCCTTCTTGCTGAGACTCATCATACACGTACGAAAACACTTTGCAAATGCTTAGGTGCTTAGGTGCTATAGAAAATATGAAGGGTTGTAAGAATAGTTGGACAGGGGCCCAGAGCGGGTAGGGTATCTGCCGTGCATGTGGCCAACTGGGGTTCCAACCCCAGCATCCCATATGATCCCCCAAGCACTGCAAGGAATAATTTCTGAATGCAGAGCCAGGAGTAACCTCTGAGCATTGCCGAGTGTGACCCAAAAAGCAAAAAAAAAAAAAGGATTAAAATATAAGAATTGGGGTGATAAACACTAGTAGTCATTGTTTGGAGGACTGAAAGTAAACAGTGATAGTCAGACACTGGAATCATTAGAAGTGTTCAAATTCCAAGGAGATTCCATGTTGTCTAGCAAGTCAGCTGCTGGCACAAGCCCTTGCTCGGAGGCCTTCTATATATAAAACACTGGGGGTAAAGTTGATGGATTTCTGTTTAGGGCTGGGCTGAGCACAAGTCATGTCAAGCTGTCAAAGGGTGGAACTGACACAGGGTTAGGAAGTAGGCTGTGGCAGGTGTGCAGGCCAAAAAAGGGACCTTAGTGCAAGCGGCACAAGAACAAAGTTAAAGACTAAAAAGAGCCTGTGGTGAAGAGCAACAGCAACTGCACCACAGCTGGGTACCAGCATTGGCTCACTCAGTGTGACCGAGGAGCCATAGCTGACGTGTCCTATCTACCTCCACACTGGGTGGGGGGTTGAGCCATCAAATTCCACTAGGAGGAACATATGGTATCTGTACTTTCATGAAAGTTCTCTCTCCCTCTCACCTTGTTGATAGATTGATAGATTTCAAAGTCGATTTTCCCAAAGCTGCTTTGGAACATTATATTCTTTTTTCCTTTTTTCTTTTTTTTCTTTTTGGGTCTCATGTGGCAATGCTCAGGGGTTATTCCTGGCTCTGCACTAAGGAATTACTCCTGGTGGTTCTTAGGGGACCATATGGGATGCCAGGGATTGAAACCAGGTTGGCTGCATGCAAGGCAAACACACTCCCTGCTGTACTATCACTCGGGCCCCGAAACATTCTATTCTTTCAGGTCCAACTTTACTGTAAAGTTGGAGCTCTTATTGTTTAATTGGCATGAATGTGTCAATGGCACTATTCATATAGGATATAATTATATAAATAAAAGCACGTCTCAAGAAATACAGACATCAATTGCAAAAAGTCAAGGATGCCTACTGACATCAAGAATATACTGGGAGGTGGGGGAGGGGGAAGGGTCAGTGAAATAATGGTGGAAGGATCTGGAAACACTGGTGGAGGAATTGGTGTAGTGCTCTGCAATGATAAAATAACGACCCTAGCATGCAAATTATGATACCTCATAAAATAACTTTATGGTATCTTAGTAAAGACCATAGTTTATTGAAGTTCAGGAGGAAAAAGATCAGGAATAACAACAATGATTCCAACACCATGAACAATATTACTAGAACTCAGCAAGTGTTAATGGTATTGGAAGTCTAACAACTTATATTTGAACTAAAAGCAGAATACTCTTAGTAGCTACAAACTCTAGAATATTGTGAATACTGACTAGCAACACATTGTCTAAAAACAAAGTTGAGCAAATTATTATAGCAACATTCTGTAGGTCTTCCCCTCTGCCCCCCCCCATCAAAATTCCAGCCCTTCCATGTTCCAAAAGAGTCCCTGGGTTCATGAACTAACCACTATTTATGTTTTTATAGAGAAACATTTGTGGAAAATAGGAATAAATTCCATCAACTGTTTTGGAACCTGATCTGCCCCAATGTATATGTTTCAAAGGTTCAGCCATGGGGTTCACTACGAAAGCAGGAGGTTGGGCTCCTTCTCATACTTGAACAGATGGTGAAATTCCAGCAGGACTTTGTGCCAGCCCAGCTGAACTGCAGGAACTGACATGTGAATATTTAACATTCTTTTTAACCACAACTATGAGTTCAGGCAAAAAGAATAACCCTGGAGCTTCAGTTGAAGGGAGGATACTAAGAAAACAATTTTGTAGCAAACCCAATCCAAATATTGCTTGGTTTGTTTTTTTCAGTCTCCCCAGGGGTCTTGGGGTTCACTAGGACTATACTTGGGGGGCGCCTGGGAAGCCATGCAGTGCTGGGGATTAAACCCAGAGCCCTGGGCATGCCAGGCATGCGGTCTAGCCCTTGGAACTAGCTCCCCAGTCCTAAAGCAAAATATTTATACTCTGTCCAAGGGTAAGAACATCTCAACAATCCTACAGACCTAATACAAGGAGCCCTATATAATAAAATCAGGTCAAGTGGCTCATGGAATTGCAAAGTTCTACACTCACAGGCTGGGATGCCTCAGAAGCATACTCAGATGGTTGATAGATGTTCCCAAGGTCAAAAGATGTGACTTTTCTCTGAAAAGACAACTGGAACATTGAAGAGTGATTAGTGCCCAAGTTTGATTTTTGAACTCTACTATCTTATTAGGAATAGACAATTGCTCTGTCAGGTCCTTACCTCCTGCCACATCACCTCTCTCCACCCCTCCCCCACTTTCCCTCACCTCACCCCATCTGCCCCCACACACCACTTTATCACCTACATATTAAGGCTCTTAAATTCTGTAAAATATATTTAGTCAGATATTTCCCATGATTACTTCTTCTTTTTGGGGGGAGGAGGGTTTGGAACACACCTTGCAGTGCTCAGGACTTACTCCTGGCTCTGTGCTCAGGGATCAATTGTGGCAGGGCTCAAAGTACTATATGGAGTGCTGGGAATCAAACCTGTGTTGACTGTGTGCAAGGAAATTGCCCTACCCACTGTACTATCACTCTGGCCCATCCATGATTAATTTTTTTTAGGTTAAAAAATTTTTTATTATTACTTTTGTAAATAAGAATAATTATTGAATCACAGTTACAAAGTTGTTCATGATTGAATTTCAGTCATATAAAGTTATAACATCTGTCCAGTGTATTTTTCCCACCACCAATGGTATCAGTTTCCCTCCCATTTCCCAACCCTGCCTGCCTCTATGGCAGGCACTTTTCTTCCCTCTCTCTCTTCCTCACCCCTCCCCACCCCACTTCTCTCTTCTCTCCGCTCTCCTTTTGGCCTTATTATTTGCAACAGATAATGAAAGATTATCAGGTATATCCCTTTACCCACTTTCAACACTCAATTCCTGTCCAAAATGATCATTTCCAACTATTATAGTCATGTTGGTCCCTTCTCTATCCTAATTGCCCTTCACCCCACACACACTCTTGTGGCAGTCTTCCAACCAGTCCTCCTGGCCCGTTTACTCTGGCCTTGAATATACACACACTCATGTATCTCACAAATGAATGCAGCCATTATATACCTGTCCCTCCCATCCTGACTCATTGAACACAGCGTGACACTCTACATGTCCACATGATTACATTTTATTCATATTTGGGCTTTGAAGTCTGGGCTTTCAATGCTATCTTTGCAATTTACTGAATGAGACAGCTCAATTTTTTTGAGCCTTAATATTTTTAGGGATGTTAGATTGCAGGGGAAAGGGGACAAAAGAGACTGACACTTGAGCCAGGGATGTGGCCATGTATGAGGTCCTGAGCTCAACCCCGAGGTCCCTCCCACAGAGAGTAATTGAGCCCTAGCAGTCTCTTAGAAATAGAATTCTCTTCTGTGTTTCTCAGGAGTGGAGGAAAGAGAAGAGAACAGGTTGAAATGACAAAGAAAATTTTCCTCTAAGGGATCAACTTTCGTTTTATGGGGTATTATAAACAGGCAAGAAAGAGAAGAGACAAGAATGACTCCTGCTCACCTTCCTTACATCAAGCTGACCTACTACAGAGTCTGAAGTCAGGCCAGAAAAGGGAACCACTGACTCCTGTTGCCCTTCATATTCCAGGCCAGAGAAACAGGATGGGCTTCCGTATTCAGCCCTTATGCAGCTCCCTGTGGCCATCCTTCTCTCCTTCTCTAAACCTAACAGAAGCCAGGAATCCAATTTGTAGATAGACTCTGCTTAAGTTTGCTATCTTTGAGTATAACTAGTAGAGTTATACATATATATATGCAGGCGTGTGTGTGTGTGTACACGTACACACACACACAAATACTTACCTTCCTCAAAAGCAATAACATGGGCTTCAGAGATAGCACCATGGGTAAAGTGTTTGCCTTGCATGCTTCCCCCCAACTTCCCCCTTCAGTCCCTAGCACCACATATGATCCCCAAGCCCTACCAGGAGTGATTTCTGTGCACAGAACCAGGAGTAAACCCTGACCACAACTGGGTGTGCCCCTCAAACAAACAAAACACACATCCCCCATCACCCCCACTCGCCCGGAAACAATATAGGAGTCCTGATCATTGGTGCAAGAGAACAGAATCTTTGGCTTCCTCAGAATGATAGGTGCAAAAAACAGGTAATTTTGTAAAGGGTGGCATGAAAATGTTAATAACCTTTAGCAAATGTATTTTGTTGAGACACCCTCCTGTGCTTACTTTTTTTTTTTTCTTTTTGGGTCACACCTGGCGATGCACAAGGGTTACTCCTGGCTCATGCACTCAGGAATTACCCCTGGCAGTGCTCAGGGGACCATATGGGATGCTGGGAAACGAACCCAGATCGGCCACGTGCAAGGCAAACGCCCTACCTGCGTTTGTGTGTAGTAATGACATAGTAATGACAGTTATCACTATCTTAAGTAAAATATATGATGATTAAAATACTCATTTCTAAATCTAAATATATGATGATTAAAATATATGATGATTAAAATACCCATCCCTAAATCTAAATCTAGAAGATACTTTTTGAAGCTCAGATTTCTTTAAGCCTGTCCAAGAATCCCGTGTGGATTGCTGTTCAGTTCTCAAGTCTAGGGTTTGTTGCTGGTTTGAGATAAAGCTAGTATTTCTGCTGAGCACCATCACGCTGAAGCATGCAGACATCCAACAATACAGCTTCAGCAGGTGCTCCACAGCCAACAGGCTTTCTTGGGAGGTTGAAGGTAAGGGTGGATCAAACAAGGATACATACCTGATGACTATTCCTTATGTCTGAACACTTGTGCACCTCTGACTTCCCTCTGTGATAACGGTGGACATGGGTTGCCCCTCCTTCTTCTGGCACGGATGAATAATATTTCTAGAAAGATATCGGGCAACCAAATCATCAGATAAAATTTTCAGATAAATGAATAAAACAAACACTCTGTGAATTAGCTAAGAGGGCGAGGCAAGAAAGCAAAGATAAACTATCCAGCTAATTGATTGGAGCCCACGTACAAGGCAGCAGAGAAGGCAATTGCATTTGACATTCCTTTGCTGCCATCTGCTGCCTCTGTAGGGCAGGAATTTTAATCCATGAAAGCTAGACTAAAATTTTTCCCATCTCTGTCCTGGTATCAAATGCCCTCCCATCTCTCCTGACAAATTCTGATGAACACAGTTCCTTAAGTCTCAGATAAGGTCAAGGCAAAAGGGTTGCATCTCCTTGAGATAAAACACACACACACACACACACACACACACCCAGAAATGCAATATAAAAAATCTAATCATTATGCAGCTTTTCTACTCACATGGAGGAGGAAAAGAAAAGGTCTCTGATTTTATAATAAGTCAAAGGATCAGAAAGCAGTTATATATTTTTTCCAGGATTAACCCCTGAGCATTGCAGGGGGTGAACCCAAACCCCCACCCCAAAACCCTCCAAAAAATCCCCCAAATTTCACAGAAGTTCCTTATGCTTCTATGGTTTACGAAAACTTTCTGGTGTTCATTTTCCAATGGAAACCAAAATGATAGAAAAGGCTGGAAAGGACTTGAGACCTGTGTTTTGTGATGGGGAAGTTAAGGCTGAAAGAGAAAAAATGGCCTATGGCATGTGGCAGTAAAAGACAGAAATGGGTGTCCATTCCCTGTTTCCTGGGAGGCCTGCTCCTCTCATGGTGCTCTTGCCCCCTCCCTCCAACATGGGTGCAGCATCAGCTTCACATGAACATCTGTCACCAACAGACATGGACCCACAGAAACATGTTTAAAAACTATGTGACCAGGATCTTGACACATAGGTTAATTAAAATCCAGTGTAGGAATTCTGTTTTAATGTCAACCTATTTTGACAGCAGGCCCAGCTTACAATGATCCTTTTGGGTTTGGGGGCAACTTTAGTTCAGAACTTAAAGAAAGATCTACTCTTGATCCATCAGCAGGCAGATCAGGGGCACGACTTTGGCTCACATCAACTTACGCCGCACTGGCTCGAAGTATAGTCCATGAATTCAGCCATTGTTCTGAAGGAAGCACTGAGGGTTGGGCGTCGTTCTTCCCTCTATTTGAACAAATGACAAGTCACGGGTGAGAGCTGGTATTCCCCCAGGAGAGGGAAGAGCTTCCTTCTTACTCTGGGAAAGGCCTCTGCCAATTCTTTCATTAAGAATAAATTCTTACTAAAAATTACGACCCGAAAACGAAGACAGGGGCGTGCAATTTATCCAAGAAATGGCTTTTCTGTGAAAAGGGTAACGCATACACTTTAATAAATAAATAAAACTAAAAAAAAAACCAACTAAGTAGGGCTGAGTAAAAACTAGTATGCGGTACCCTAAAACTACCCAATCAGAGCGTGTCCAATGTCAGTTTTTTTTTTCTTTTTGGGTCACACCCGGCGTTGCACAGGGATTACTCCTGACTCTGCACTCAGTAATTACTCCTGGCGGTGATGGGGGACCACATAGGATGCTGGAAATCGAACCTTAGTCGGCCGCGTGCAAGGCAAACGCCCTACCCGCTGCGCTATTGCTCCAGCCCTCGAAGTTAGTTTTCAAAGGGCGTTTCCGTTCACTGTCCCAGCCACTTTACAGTCTACTCCGCGGAGGACAGAACGGGAAGATGCTTCAGTGGGCCACGCCCTGGTTCCCACGGCCTCCGCAGAGCCAATGAACGGGCTGGTCCCAGCACCCGCTCCTCACCTCTCGGGCGAGAGGGCGCTGGGAGGCGGCTGCGGGCCGGCTCTCTCGGTGGGGCCGCTCGCGGGAAAGGACCCCCAAACTGCCCGCGGACAGCTCCCGCGAATGCCAGTTCACCGCCCGTCTCTTGGCGCGCTCCAGCACTTCTCGACCCAGCCTCGCAGAGCGCTGCAGGCTCCGTCGGTCCATCCCGTTCAGCGCGGCCGCCACCAACCAGTTGTCCATGTCTCCCTGCACCGGCACAGACACACAAACCCGGGCGGGTCAACCTGCAGCCCAGGGCCGCTCCAGTTCCGGGTGGGAACCGGGCCTTCCACTCCCCCGGGGGCCACCACCCCGCGATCCGCCCCCAACGCGCTCTCTGGCGGACGCCGGCTGCAAGCCGACCCCTTCAACCATTTCCGAGCCCTCCCGTCCCTCCGTTGGAGCAACATTCTCCCCCTCCCGCCCCGCACCCGGCCTTCCTCAAGACGCATGCGCTCTACGTGCGCGCGCGCTCCGAATGGGAAGGGCTGGGCCTGGGGCTCCGGGGTGACGCCGCCAGCCATTGGCGGGAAGAAGACGAGCAGGAGGCGGGGCGAGGTTGATCTGGCCACGCCCCGTGGACCGAGGCCACGCCCCCTGCGCGCGGCTTACCGAGCAACCGCCGAGCGCGGGAGACGGGGCGTGGCCTGGCAGCAGGCGGGGCAGGGGAGCTGACCCGCGCGGTCCAGAAAGCCCGGGGTGGTGAAGTTGGTGTGCTCGCGTGGGCTCTTGTGGGGTTAAAGAATCGCGGGGAACCAGACAAGTGCCTCCACGGCGCCTCTTTCTGGCCGGACTCTATTTGGAGATGTCGCTGATATTTTGACGAAATCGCCGTTTTGCCTGTGGAGGGTTAAGCTCGACGCCTCAGAGCAGCTGTCGAAGCACCCCGGGAGGAAGCCGGCGGGGAGTCGCGCAGCCCTCAGTGGCAGGCAGGGGTCTCTAAGGCACAGGGCCTGAGAGAAGTCTGAGTCGTCCGAGGGACCAACTAATCCCCCTCAGGGCAGCATCCTGGCCCCTCAGGAGGAGAGCGCTCTCTCTTGGGGATTTCGAGGATGACTGCACCTGGTTGGCATTTGGAGCCGCGTTGGGTTTGACCGCCCACTCCACTCCCCCTGGTGCGGCAGCGCGGTGATCCGCAAGGGAAAGCCCCGCAGGGACACGGGAAACGCTCACCGCGCGGTCGGTGTTCTCCACAGGGACCCTGATTAGCTCCCGGGGTGGGTGAGGGACCGACGCCCGCTGCCCGCGCGCGCGCCTTCGCGTCTTTCCTGGGTCTTTCCTCTCAAGCCCGTGGAAGTCTTCATTATCCTGGCGACACTGCCATCGCTGCGGTGTTCTAAGACTTTTCATTCAACGTGTTAGTCATGTGTCTCCTTTAGAACACAGAGTTATATGCACGCAGTTCCAAGTACTAGTGAGAAGTGGATTGGAATTTGAGTTCTCCCAAGGGTTTTTTTTGGGGGGGGGCCGTGTGGTGTGATTTTGGACAAACATATTCTTTGATTTTTTAGCTGTCCTCATCGCTATACTCAGGGATATCAATTGCCCGACTCTCACTAGACTGAGTTTTTTCCCTAGGTTCGGAACCAGAGCTATTTTGTTTTTCTGAGTTTAAGATGTATCTTATCAGTCACAGAAGTGACTAAGTATAGCTGTTGAATGTGTAATGCGGGTTGCTATAATGAGAATATATATGAGAATTCCTGCAAAATGCTTATTTCACTTGTCTTGCAGATATACAGGCTCCAAAGACTTAACTAGAATTATAAATGTGCCAAGCACTTTCCTAGGAGTTGTGAAGAATAAAAATTAAGTGTATCAGACTGTGGAGTGATAGCAGTAATACAGGGGCTAGGGCACTTGCATTGCACACAGGGACACCGGGTTGGATCCTGGCACCCCATATGATCCTCCAAGTAGCACCAAGAGTGATCCCTAAGTGCAGAGCCAGGAGTAAGCCTTGAGCCACTGGGTGTGGCACAAAAAGCAAAAATAAAGTGGATCAGCCTAAAGAAAGACTTTTAAAAGTGGGGGGCGGGAAATGCACATAAACCCTGTATTGTGTTGTGTGTGTTGGTGGGGGGTAAATGTTTAGTCCTTAAGTGGTTTACAATAAAACTGATAAAAGTATTGTGAAATTTAGAGAAAGAAATACTCTTCAATTTATGGGATCAAGAAAGGTTTTGTTGGGGCTGGGAGATAGTACAGGCATTAAAGTACATTTCTCAGTCTGATCATAAGTACCACATGGTCCCCAGAGTACCTTCAGATGAGGCTGCAACTTCATTGAGAAGCTTTGGTAATCCCCAGCACTGTAGAGCCCAAGCAATACTCATCCTTGGCCCTCGCGTTGAACCACATCACTGGGATAAGTGCTGTCGGTTGGGGATCCCTGAGCACAACTTTGAAGGATAATCTGAGGGTTTATGACCCAAAGAGGTTCTTATGAATATGATTAGGAGCAAAACAGAATTAATTATTTTATTTTTATTTATTTATTTATTTATTTTGCTTTTTTGGGTCACACCCGGCGATGCTCAGGGGTTACTCCTGGTTCATGCACTCAGGAGTGACTCCTGGCCATGCTCAGGGGACCATATGGGATGCTGGGGATCGAACCAGGGTTGGGCCGCGTGCAAGGCAAATGCCCTACCCGCTGTGCTATCACTCTAGCCCCTTAATTTTTATCTGTGTCTCTGTAACCATGAGCAAATGCTCAATCATTCTATATTGTTTTATTATCTATAAAGTGAGAAAATAATAGAACATTCTGCAGAGGGTTGTATGGAATAAGTTAATAAACGTAAAGTACTTTGATTAGTATTTGTCACATAGTATATGCTCTATCTATATAGATTGATATCATTATCTTAAACAAACTTAGTTTGAAATGTAATCAGACTTAATTGGGAGACTTAAGCCTAGTCTGTCTATATGTGCTCACTTCCTTGAAACTACAGTCATATCACAGGTTCCCTTGGTTCTTTCCCTTATTACTACTCCCTTTCTGTTCTGTTGTAATTGAAATCTTCAGCTATTCTCAGGTGCAGCCTCTGATTCCATGACTTTAAAAAAAATAAATGGTTGGGATTGGAGAAATAGTACAGGAGGTACACCTTGCCTGTAGCAGACTTGGGTTTAATCCCTGTCACTCCATATGGTCCCAGAGCCCTGCCAGGAGTGATACCTTAGCACAAAACCGGGAATAGATATGTGGAATCCCCCCCAAAAAATATAAATAAAAAATTGTGTGTTGTCTGTTGTGTGTACGTGTGTGTGTGAGAAAGAGTTTATCCCTATCTTATTGAAATTGTGTGTAATTATGGTTTATTCTCACTCAACAGTTTATGAACTTGAAGGTGAAAGCTTCTTTTTTATTTTTTGTCCCTACATAGTCAGAACCTTTTTTCCAATAGATCATTGATTTAATTATTGTTATTATGGTCCCAGGACTTAGGACCTTCACCCAGTTGAACTCTAAGGCCTAGTACCAGGAATCAAACCCAGGGCCTCACACATGCCAGGTTCATGTTCTGCCAATTGTGTCAGATTCCCAGCCCAGATTTCAATATTAACACATCATTGTTTAAGAGTTGTTTCCTTTTTTTAAAAAAAATCTATTATACATTTAAATGGGCTGGAGCGATAGCACAGCGGTAGGGCGTTTGCCTTGCACACAGCCAATATGGCCGACCTGAGTTTGATTCCTCCGCCCCTCTCGGAGAGCCCAGCAAGCTACCAAGAGTATCTTGCCCGCACGGCAAAGCCTGGCAAGCTCCCCGTGACGTATTCGATATGCCAAACACAGTTACAAGTCTCACAATGTTACTGGGCCTGCTGGAGCAAATCAATGAACGACGGGAGGACAGTGATACAGTGATACATTTAAATGAGTAGAATCAATATTTAGTTGTGACTAATTTTTATCATAATTTAACATTTAGATATAAATGGGAAAGTAAAAGGCTGAAATGAAACTGAAGCCTAGAGGGCAAGAGAGATAGTACAATGGGTAAGGTGCTTGCCTTACATGTAACTGGCCCCGTTTCTAATTCCTGCACTATATATGGGCCCATGAGTACTGCCAGGGGCCACATCTAACACAGAGTCAAGAATAGTTCCTGAAAACTGCCAGATGTGGCTCCCTCCCTAAAGAAAAGAAACTGAAGTCTGAAAACTCACATTAAATATTTGCATTTTATTTATATTTACAAATATTTATATATTTAAAATAGTTTCACACTTAATACTGTCAACTATAGACTGAAAGAATCTTTTTTGTTTGTTTTCTTTTTGGTGGGCTGGAGCTATAGCACAGCAGGTAGAGTGTTTGCCTTGCAGGAGGCTTGTAGGATTACACTGCTTTGTCCTTTCTCCCCTGCCACAGGAGCTTAGGTTTATCAGGTTACACCCATCACAGTGCTCCTGAGTCACTCCCATTCCTTCGTTTATCTGTAACCACTTCTCTCTGCTCTCCTCCCCAACCAGTTAATCAGCTTTCCCCCTAATCAGACTCTGTTAACTTGTAAAGTTAGATTCCTCAGAAATCTATGATTTTATATGTATGAGTGAAATATTGCCTTTCTCCTCTCCTTATGTCTTTTGAATAGTTTACTTCAATGAAATGTCCTTTTTGTATAGATACAGAAAGACAGTTAATATTATGCTTTTGTAACTTAGGATTTAATTGGCTTTGAATATTATTCACTCCTGGGCATCTGCTTTCTCGACTTAAGCCTCAGTTACCCTTGGTTCCTAACACCCCAAAAGCAGGGTCCTGACGAGGGACTGAATGGACCCAGGGCAAGTGGTGAGCTATCCTGTCATCGAAGTGGGCCAGGCCAAAGTGCCACAATTCTTAACTATAAATTAAGAGTTTGATTGTAGACAAATGCTGTCATGATCCAAAAGTAACAACGAGACGAGGACCATGCTAGGGATAGGAAAGACTATCTGGCCTGAGCACTGTAGTCTGAGATAGAGATGGCCCTAGGAGGGCAATTCTATAAGTTTAAGGTATTTCTTACTGTATCCATACAAAATGATTTATATTATATATGCTTATATGTTTGTTAGACAAGGAGAGGAGAAACACACCCAGGGGATTCCGCTCTAGGGTGGATTGATCTGATAATGAGAATCTGTCCTAGGAGCGGATTTCCCCGAGGGAAAGAATTCTACCCCTATTGATTGTGATCGCACCTATGTGTAATTGTTACCCCAACCCCTCATGCTTTGGGATTTAACTGTAATGTAAGAGTGGGTTGGGGGATCAGAATCCAGACTCCAGAGAAAGAGGATGAAGGGGACTGAGTAGGAGAATGAAGTAGCATGGGGGAGGAAGAAGCAGGAGAGGAGGAAGAGGAGAGAGACGGGAATGAATGGAGAGAGTATTGGAATACACTGCGACT